ATCAGCTCCATTTGAAAAACGTCTACCAGTCCATTTTGATAACTATCATCCGCTAGATAGCGATTCATCCGTTGGATAGCATCATCCGCCCTTTGGCTGACTGGGTCCAAAACGTCCTTTCCTTTTTTATTAAACAGGTGTTTGGAATACACGAATGCGCAAGTTACACTGAGGGATGTTAAATTGTCATTACATTTAACTCTCATAATTGATTCAGGAGAAAGTGTAAAGTAGCAGAAGTATTACTAAGAGTATCCTACTGCTGGAATACACTGTAGCTAGTGAATAATGTTAAGAAATAGTTGGTGAATTTTGCGTTGTTGTTATGTTTTTTCATTATTCTTTAGAGGTTTCTCTCTTTCCATCTGGAGCTTAGAAAGATGTTTGTTGATTTTCGTGAAGGGATTAGTTTACTGGCGTGATGACGTTCCCAAACTGGGTTAGACATAAGTATTTATCCTCAATTCGCTTCCTACCCAAACACTGAGCCGAGAATGCCGAGTCATACGCTGTTAAATTTGAGCCTGAGCAACTAGCGGTTGTTTAGGTAAATTAGAAAGTTACGTACGAGAAGAATATTCCCGGTATTCACGTAAAGCATGCCAAGTACTTCCTCCTTACACAAACTTAGTAAAACAGGTGTTGTACTGTTTCTAGTTTTGAGCAATGATTTTCATCTTTCTTTTGGCTGAAAGTATATGGAACTCAAGTCCAAAGGTTAACAAAATTACACTTTGGCGTCTTTAGGGAAATTGAGCGGATAGAAAACTACAGAAACCAACTTTTTTGAGTTCCTAATCACTCTTCTGAGCAATGAAAAAGTATCAATATTGGAGGTGTTAAAAATAGACTGTCCACGCTCGAATGCTCAGAGATGTTTCCGCAATCGTCGTTGATGTGGTTGAACTGAAACAGGTTGAAAGATTGTTGCAAGAAAAATGGTTGATAGAAGTTTTGAATTCTCGGTGTTTTTTCTTCACTTGGACAGTATTTCGAGGGGGCAGGAACGCTTCAAACGGTATGCAGTCCTTTGCATTATTAAAAAATACGAAACTGCATGATTTTACACATGATGTTTTCAAGAAATATCGGATTTATCTCTGAACAGACATCGGATATAGAGATTACTGAGGCGTGGGTTAATTGATTCCTTTCATGAGAGATATTCGGTCGACAATCATATTGACGTCGGCCTAAAGTTTATCAGTGCTCGGTGTGTAGGTGGAGAGACTATTTGGAGAAAATTAAAGTAAAAGAAAACTTGAAAACAATTGTGGTATTACATTATTTGCAGTTTAAATGTAATGCAATGGTCCAGAGATTTCGAGATATTGCGTGAAAATGTACTGATTGATAATAGAATGAAAACAAGTAATATCATCCATAACGTAAGATCGATGCAAAATGTGGAGGTTTAAAGTATTGTACTTGAGACCTACGTGTTGGCGTTTGTACCCCTTCAGTAGATCAATCTCATTATAAATAGAGAATGCTTTTCAATGGGAGGGTAATCTACGATATCCAGTTTTTGTTTAGACAGCAACGCCCCGGAACGCCACTTTATTATGGATGAAGCTGTGACATCAGAGCTTATTTCAGGTTGTTTAACTAACCTTTCTAACATAAGAAAGACTATATCGGCAGTGATTTGCCTTGCACTCAGGTATATATCAAATGAACTCTGCCGACTGAACCTCAATGGCTCCAAATTTGTTTTTCTTGGCCTTTTTTTTTGCTACTGCTGTTAAAAAAGTGGTATTTAGATTAGATTGGCGTCAACACAGGAAAAGAAAAAAACATAGTTTCTGAAGGAGAAATGGCTGTTATCCGATTTGATTTGGTCGTGTATTATACCAGTCACTTTACGAGTAGGAGTTTTAATTAGTCTGTGTTATCAAACCAAAGGAACTCTTGAGCCATTTCCTTACAAACATCAGGCTCAGGTTTTTAGAACGATAAATAACGATAAATAAAGCAGCTCCATTTGAAAAACGTCTACCAGTCCATTTTGATAACTATTATCCGATAGATAGCGATTCATCCGTTGGATAGCATCATCCGCCCTTTGGCTGACTGGGTCCAAAACCCCCTTTCCCTTTTTTTTTAAAACAGGTGTTTGGAATACAAGAATGCGCAAGTTACACTGAGGGATGTTAAATTGTCATTGCGTTTAATTCTCATAATCGATTCAGGAGAAAGTGTATAGCAGCAGAAGTATTACTAAGAGTATCTGATTGCTGGAATATACTGTAGCTAGTGAATAATGTTAAGAAATGGTTGATGAATTGTGGGTGCATCGTGCGTTGTTGTGTTTTTTCATTATTCTTAAGAGGTTTCTCTCTTTCCATCAGGAGCTTAGAAAGATGTTTGCTGATTTTCTCTTTTAACTTGGTGGATTTTTCGATCCTATTGCAGGGGGGGGGGGGGTCAAGATGCTATCTTATATCGTTATGGATGGTGTGGTATCTCAACAGCCTCCAGAAAATGCAAACATTGGATGTATCATTAATATTTAACTGTTAAGAAACTAATTTGATAGGTTGCCGAAACTCTCAGTCGTGACCCTTTTAAAGATCGTTACTCGAAGAGTTCCGACTTCCTCCCGAGTTTCTCATTTGAATTTATGACTATTCGAAAAGCTTTTGATCTTTCTCACAGGTACTCGAAGATTTGCGAGTGACGTACTAAGGTTTCAAGTTATTGATGGGTTGCGAGCCAATTTTTCAGAACTTAGATCTCAGGAATAATGATGCAGGTTTTGGCTTGAGAAACACTTACTGAATTTTGTTTGCTGATATTGTGATTCTTTGAATTTCAAAATTTAAACTTTTCAATATCCCGTGCTTGATTGTAAACACTGCCAAATGAAAGAAAACCTGGGCTATTCTGCAGTGATTTCAAGTACAAAACTATAGCCCACCATGTCACTTAGAATTAATAAAGTTGAACATGACAGGGGGTGGGAATTCCAATTTTTGCTGCATAACTAGAAGAAACTGACCGCCCTCGAGAATGCTACCGAACGCTATTATGATGATAACTCGGTAATCGTGACAATAACTTCCTTTTTTCAATACCAATCAAATGTTGATGTTGTTATTCAGTTTGGTGATCAAAAACGTGATGAATACTGAGCAGTTTGTCTCCTCTTCTGTGTAGTCGGAGTTTCATTTGGTTATGAGTTTTGAGTTTTGAGTATACCCAAGTGTAAAGGACGATCTTCGTTTTTCAGTCTTAGAGTTTTCATCTTCTCTATTTCTCTGCCGTTTGAAATATCAGCACACTTGGGCTGCTGTATCTTTTCAGATAAAACCGAATTTTCATTGTTTGACCTCGTAAACCAAAAAAAACCCGACGAAAACATGTTTAGCTTCATGCTCGCCACTGAGGTTGTTCGGAAAGACCCAAATGAAATCACTAATTAATTCGGATTGCGTTTTTGGGTCCGCGTGATTACCATTGACTCACAATGCGTGATATGTTATGTATGCCACATCATGTGAATAATTATAGGTTCGGCATAGCAATTCAAAGCACCTGTTCCCACAACACCTCGAACTGCATTAATTAAGAGTTGTGGTTTTAACTTCCATGGATGCAATGGCTTTGAAGTTGTAGTAAATTCACCAAGACGCAAAAATATAGACGCCGTGGGAATGAATGAAGGTAAGCATGTAATTTCGATAGTCAAAAGCCAATATTTTTCGTGAAGTTTTTAGCGATTTATTTCCGGCGTTTGATCATGGTTTTGCAGCTAAGTTTAATTGTTAAAAACTTCGGAAATGATGTGTAGTCATATTTTTCTTGCTGGAATATATGAAGCCATAACTGTGAGAGATCTTTCAATAGAGTTGAAGACAAAACGGAGGGATTTACATTCGACCAGAGGGGAAATAAAATTTTGGTAAAACTGTTTTTGATAAGAAACCAGGCGCCGTAAAAAATGTATTAATTCAATTATTTTAATCCGAGTTGCCTTTCCATCTATCACCTTGAAGGATTAGTCTAGCCTTTTTTGTCAAATGTCGCTTCATAGTTCGACAACGTTTGTAGAAATGTCGTTTTGAATTACTTGGATGTATTTCCTTCTGGGGACTGGGAAAACGTATTATTGTGACAGGTAAGTTGTGTCGGTTTTGCCTTTTTTAGATTGACATGTAATGAAAAATCTATTTAGATAATTCAATTTAGAGGTTTCTCTTGTGAACGTCCTGTTTATTGGTCCTTGGATGAGAAACAAACAGCGAAGGCGAAAGGTGGTCCTCTGTCAACAGAGCGTAGATGAAATTTATAAAAAGAATTAGATTTAAAACGAATACCAGGGCCCACATTGCTAGATGAAACGCTATTGAAATCATTCACTCCTCTGAAGTTATTTTAGGTTTCCATTACGTTTTGCTTTTAAGTAAATGAATAAAGGGAAAAGAAAAAAGGTGGTAATCGTAGTGTCAACTTTAAAAGTAGAGTGTTATGAAAAATAGTTATTGCTTCGATCTAGCGTGGTCTTGCGATGCAGTGAATTTCATGCGAAAAATTCTGAATTGACTCCTGTAAAGAACAAGAGACAGGACCGAAAAGATGTATCGACTTTTACGGAATATTTAGTCGCTCTTCTTTCCCTATTTGTTTTATTTTACTTCTGCCTTCTGCTTTTTTGCTAATGTTTTCGACAAACATCGGTCTGTTGAAGACAGCATCTCGGTAAATGTTATGAGACAAAGCATTTCACAGAACAAATATTGTAAAATATGTTTAAGAGGGAACTAAAAAATTATTTATTTGATATTATACTTCAGTCAATCTGGTTTATTATGAAGACAATTATACCGTAGAGCGTAAGGAAGTCATCGGCACTTTTGGCCACGGCCGCAAATTAAAAGTGTGCCTCGCGTTGCGAGCAAGATGGCATGTTCCATATAATTCCGAAGTGAATTTGAAATGGGCCTCGGATTAATAAGTAAACGTGTATATTCTTTTGATTAACAAATTATTGTAATATGCAATTAGTCGACGGAAAATGAAGCAGGGAATTGAATACAGAGTTCAAATTCCAATTACTTGCTAACGAAAATAGGTATCTCCTGATCATAATGGACTCGAAGGAAATTTGAGAGCTGTTAGAATGGGAAAAAAGGGTTGTAATAGGTACTCTTGTGTTTCAGAATGTCAGTGCAACTGCCTTGGCCACCCCGACGCTTCGCGCCCGAAAACATAAATTATGTATACCTCACAAAGTCAGTGAAAGTTGTTAATATTCATACAAAGGTGAAAATCATCAAATGCAAGCTTCACCAAAACGGTTCAATTTAAACAGGGAAAGCCATTATAGGCACAAACAAGGGTGTCGGACAAGACGGAAGTGACAGTTTGAACGTTGTATCAAGCAGGTCGAAGCTTTCCAAAGGCCTTTCACCTGCCTTATACGAAGCCGGGATCTCGTTACATTGTGGCGGTTAGTGGGCTATCCGCGTTTCCCTGCTGCGTGGAGCTTTTTGTTTATATTTTTGGTAATTTTGCATTTTGTGTGCTTTCACAGGAACCTTGATGCAAGAGTAGGGCCTCCAGCGATTTGGTGGACATTCCGTTAACCTGAAAGGTATCTTTAGCGTTCACTGTAATGCCAAGGATAAAAATGTTCAAATCTCTTTTTTGCGTTAGGTTCTTACAAAAACCAAAGGGCTTGGTATTTTTAACGGATTTGGTATTTCTTATTTCAAGTCTCTTGTATGATGAGATGGTGGTATTGACTGATGTATCCATGAGTATTATATACGTCAATTCATAGATCTGAGATAACCTTTCAAGTTACTAGTGCTTTTATTGGCGTCTTCTATTCGAACTGTTGAAAGGAAGGGATGAGTGAAAATTGACCTTCAAAAACTGCATCAGAATTTAATGAAAATGAAAAATAGCTGGAATTACAAACCAGAATCATCCCGAAAATTTTCTGTGAGTTTAATCGTTTGTCGAATCAAATATCCGAGTTGAAATAAGTAGGCCTTACTTCAGAGGTCAGGAAATTAAAAAAATTATGTGCAAATTCTTTTTGTGAAGAGAACACATCTACATTTGGGATTTGGCAAAATTATGATCCGCCGTTATTAGTGGAAGTGGTAAAATGAATACAGATCGCCTGCAAGGTATTTTGTGTAAATAAAGCGAGGACCTGCCATTTTGATTTATTCGTGTTGGATGGAATAAATTACTTGAGTTCAATTTATGTTGACTGTTAATATTAACGGAACCTAGCGCACATTTGGAAATGGGTAAAGTAAGCCTTAGTTGTCTCTTCTGTAGGACATTTTTAAAAGAAGAAAAATATTATGTCATGTGGGGTACAAAATATTCAAACTAGAGTCGAAATTGGGCGATTTTCTCAAGGTTTGTTCACCAATATCATGCGGTAATGAATGTGTGTTTCTTATGGCTAATGAAAGGTTTCAAAGCGTCGTTAGGTTGGGATAATAGATTGACTTTAATTCTGAATATTCAACAGTAAGAGAATTTTCGTTCTTTATATGGGAGTCTGTCTGAAAAGTTTGTTCGACAGTAAGGCTTCCAAGACTGATACAGAATTCCCAAATTAGACTTGTTCCTCACTATTTGACTACTGTGGCTGCGTTTCCCCGTAAATAAACGTAAAATAGTGAAAGTACTCTCCAAACATTTGTAATGATAAATTTATGGGTTTCCTCATTGTTTCTAACATATTTTACGGCTTCGGAGCGTTAATTGCTTCATTTTAATATGAAGTGTAAAGAAATATAATTTCGAATGTAATACCGTAAAGGTGATAAAATATACTCGTGAGAGGGCTGTTTGACAACAACTTTGAAAATCAACTGTAGGTTTTCCACCAGGCACTTTCTTCATCTAGCCGTTATCAACATTTCGCTTCGTAGCTCTTTTGTTGATAGTGAAAGGGAACCCGAAACTTCCTTTTGAAGATGTATTGACCCCTCACGATAATTACGGATGGCTGCGAAAATTTATAACGTCTTATTACCAACAACTCACGCAATCTTATCAGATGAGTTCCTCGCTTTCATGATTGAGATCTGTTTCTGATGGATATTTAGGTCCATCCTGCATTTAATGCTATTGCCCGGGTTTAGATTTTTATTTTTGATCATCTGCGTTTTTGAACTTTTACGGTGCTAAGATAAGGAAAAAAATATGTCGTTTCAGTTCCCTAAAGCAAAAATAAAAATAAAACTTCCTGCGGATGTCGCTTCGAGAGTTTACTGGCACGCTTGAAATTACCAACCATGGACAGGGAAGAGTTTTAAAATACCGTCAATCGTGTAAACTTGTGGGTTGAAATCAACTTTTGTTTAGATGAAATTCGCTTTTGCTAATAATAGATCTTAATAATGTACATCTTAAATTGTACTTTATTATCGAAAAAGTACAGCACTCCCAACGAAATGCTAAGTCTTCATTAATCTTTGCAAAGTCAGTGATTCTGATTTTACCCGTGTTCAATCTTTCCTATCTCGGCGACCAGCCTGTCCTTCTATGTCTTAGTGTCGCATGCTTATTGGAAATCAATTCGGTTAATGGAATATAAAGAGCCCTTGTAAAACGGTTCTTCCAGCATTTCGTTAAGGTCTCTGCTTCTCGAGAGTTTTTTGGTCCGTGCATATTCATCAATGTGAGAACTTTAGGGGTCCATCTTTTTCTACTAAAAAGAATGATGAGATCAAGATCATTTAATTTCTTTTTTCTTTTTCTAAACAAACATTATTTGACAAAACAAGATATCCATGTTGTTCTTTTGCTCTCGTATTAGAACCATAACAATTAATCCAAAATTTAAAACATCGAAATGACATACGATTATTTTCTTGTTCAACTATGAATATTGCATCTCCCGTTATCTTTAGCGGTTGAAGCTTCGCGAGAAATGATAAATGAAACAATTGAATTTGTTGAGCCACAGCTTTGTTTACATAATTTCAGAATAACAAAGATCAAACGCTAACGAAAGTCGCTCTTAATGGGTAAAATCTGTAGTTCTACTTTGTAAGATCAATACAAGTCATTTCATGATAAATATTTTTTTAGAATTGATTACGTGGCAGAGGTTTAAAACAACTATCGATTGATCGAAGCATATATAGAGAGCAAAATAGTTTGACTTACTGTATTTTAACTTTCATTGGAAGGTAAAACAACACAGGCGCTGTGGCAAAACCTGAAAACAACCCCGGTGGCATGAAATGTCACTGAAGAATGGTGACAGGCTGTCATGACGGAGGAGTAGTCCAAGCGAACAAAAGGACTTTGTCAAAATTGTGGAATGCATGCAAGTATGGTGATATAAAAACAGTTGAAAAATTAGCTGTCAAAAGGGTTGGTGCAAACGGAAAAGCTCATGGCATGGCCCTTATTCATATAGCCGCGCGATATGGAAACCCAGATACTGTCAGGTATCTCCTCTCTTTGGGCGCTAATGCCCATTCAGTGGACGAAGAAGGTTGGACTGCTCTACACTGGGCAAGCGCAGGTGGGCATGTCACTGTAATGCAGCTTCTGTTAGTGGATGGTATTGACCCCGACGTGAAAACCAATTCCGGCGCTACACCTCTGCATTTAGCTGCCTCCAACGGCCACGAGAAGGCCGTGAACCTTCTCTTGACTTTCGGTGGCAACGGAAACGCATTAGACGGAAATGGAAGGACTGCAATGTTTTTGGCAAGCCGAGGTGGTCATGTCCCTGTCATAGAAGTTCTTCTGAAACATGGAATTAAATCTAACGTCCCACCCAAAAACGGTCCTACACCAGTACACACTGCTGCACGAAACGGTCATTTCAAGGCTGTTGATTTTCTCATTTCCTGTGGAGCAGATATTGATGTCGTGGATAAGGATGGGTGGAACGCACTACACTCTGCCTGCCAAAACGGTCACGTTGAGGTGGTAGAGACGCTGCTAAAAAGTGGTATGGAGGCTGACACTAGAATCCATGGAGGCTGCACTCCTTTGATGATTGCAAGCTGTCATGGGCATCCAGATGTAGTTGATTTTCTTATTTCTAAAGGAGCTGATCCAAACTCCTCTGACAAATGTGGATGGACTGCTTTGCATTTTGCCAGCCTGGGTGGCCACATATCTGTTATTCGAGCGCTGCTCAAAGCAGGAGTTGATGTCAACATTCGCACAGTTCAGGGAACTATTCCAATTCATATTGCAGCACGTTATGGCCAGCCCGAAGTAGTAAAGTATCTCATGCGTAAGGGGGCTGACCTAACAGTTTCTGACAAAGACAACTGGACTATACTTCATTACGCCACTCAAGGTGGTCGCCTTCCCTTCCATGTCATGGAATCAGTTTTAAGTCAAGATCTTGATGTAAATGCCAAATCAGTCTTAGGAATTACTCCGTTACACATTGCAGCTAGGCATGGTCATCTAGAGTACGTAGATTTTCTTTCAATTCAAAATTCAGACCTATTAGCTCGAGACAATCAGGGATGGACTGCTTTGCATCATGCCTGCAAGGGTGGTGAGCTTTCAGTTGTCGAGAAATTGTTTAACAAAGGAATTGACCCAAATGTCAGAACGAATTCTGGGTTGATGCCGATTGGGATTGCAGCATTGCGAGGAAATCATGATTGTATCAAGTATTTACTCTCAAAGGGGGCTGATCTAAATGTTGTGGATAACGAAGGAATGACTGTCCTTCACTTTGCCAGTCAAGGAGGGCAAACGGATTTGATCGAAACTTTATTGAGCTACGGATTGGAGCCAGATGTTGTGGCTGAGAAGGGCCTTGTGCCTATTCATTCCGCAGCATTCAACGGCCACGCTGGTGCCTTAAACCTGCTCGTTTCTAAAGGAGCAAATCTTAAGGCTATTGACGATCAAGGTTGGAGCGCGTTACACTTTGCTTGTCAAAATGGGCATACTATCGCGATAGAAACAATACTTGAGCTTGGCTTGAATCCCAATGAAAAAACAACAGATGGGAGAACACCTCTTAGTATTGCCACGATCCACGATCATCCAGAAGCAGTGAGGTTACTCCTATCCAAAGGAGCTGACGAGCACATCGCTGACAACAACGGCTGGAATGCATTGCACATCGCGAGTTATCATGGTCACGTGACTATTCTTGAACTACTATTGGAACTTGGTGTGGAGGTGGACTGTCAGACGAGTGAAAATCTAACCCCCCTCCTTCTTGCTGCCAAAAACGGACAAACTGAAGTGATAGCTCCATTATTGTCGCATGCGGCTAATGTAGAAGCTTCTGATAACGAAGAAAGGAAGGCACTACATTTAGCAAGCCTCGAGGGTCACGTAAAGATCGTGGAAATCCTAATAGAAACTGGACTGGATCCGAACCAGAAAACACAACAGGGCGTCACCGCTATGCATTGTGCTGGGTTAAAAGGGCATAATGACGTCATTGACAGCTTATTAGAACGGGGTGGTAACATTTATGAAGTTGACAGTGAAGGATGGAATACCCTTCACTACGCTTGTCGTGGAGGCCACAAAAAAGTTATCGAACGAATGAAAAAGCTTGGCATGCAGTTAAACTGCCAAGCGGGAGACGGTTCAGTTCCCCTACATATCGCCTCCCGCTACAGTCACCCGGAGTTAGTGAGTTTCCTACTGACGCATGGAGCTGACACACATGCTGTGGACAAGAATGGATGGAATGCCCTGCATCATTCTGCTACTAAGGACGGGACAGTAGCAGTCGCTGATGCTCTCCTCAAACAAGGAGTAGAGATGATTGTGAAGCGCACTCATGATGGAGACACAGCTCTTGGGATTGCTGAAAAAGAAGGCAACAAAGACGTGCAACAGTTCCTTGACAGCTTCGTGTCTAACCACTTGGGTATTTCAAGTGACGAGGATAGAAAACATGCAAACTACTGCATCATTCTGTGAAAGGGGAGATTCCCTCGCGTATACATGTGAAATCTACTGCAGGGCTACCAATGATAAAAACCAGTTGGACATAATGGAATAGATGTGACTGAAACAGCCAACTAACTGTACTTCAGTTCCGACTGCCAGTTCACTGGCATGGCAAACTATTGTGTACAGAAACGATTTTATTAAGGTTTGTAGGGGAAAACTGATTTAGTATTTTTTTTTGTGTGAACACTGCTGAATGTTTTTTTTTCGGATTTCACTTCGCACAATTTTTAAGTCAGGGATTTCAAATCATGCACGATGAAAGTACGTTGCTGAAAAATGGCGGACTTTACCATAATTGAAAACCCAAGAGCTCAATATCTAATAAAATCGTAATGACCTCACTCTTGCTAGGGCTGGTCACAATGCAGTTAAAGATGCACTGAGGGCTACATTGGTAGTCAACTTAGAAAACAGTGAAATGTTTTCAAATTACGAATAACCTCAAATTCTACCCTTTTTTATTTAGGCACCATAGATCATGAATTTACCTGTCATGGCAAAACTTTGATTATCTTGCTGTGATCTTTTAATTACTTGGAATATTTCCTAAAACTTTGTAAAAGAAATTGGAAAATTTAATCGTGTTTGCAAAGTAACGTAGGTGAAAATGAAAGTAGTGTTTTTTTTTATTAGATTTGTAAAATGTCGTTCTCTATATAACCAAGAGGGGAGGAGGGTATGAGATTATTCTCGTTAGGTGAAGAACTCAGAAGCTCGGAAAAGGTCGTACATAATTCAATAAGAGTCCTAGGCTCCACAAAATAAGCCACTCCTTGGTCATTTATGTAAATATTCTCATTGATTGAGACTTGGAAAACTGTTTGTCGGTGTTGTTCCGTAGCGAAGACGAACTTCAAAGAAGAACAAAAGCTAGAATTCAAACCCAGTACCAGTCTCACAATGAGTGCAATCTATCAATGATCTGCTTTTTTGATCAAGATACCGTGATGTACATGCAGGGATGGTACATGCACATGAAAAATACTCAATAGCTGTCGTTAGTGATCTCCTAATATCTGTAATCAACTGCACCAAAATCCTCAGGTCTCTTTTGTTTTTCTGATAGATGTAAGAAAGTGTGGTCTGATCAAGAGAACTAATTGAGGGTACTTTAATTTAAAATAGGAGTGCCAGCCTAATAGTCTTATGTATGTGATGTATAACGTACTTGTCAGGAACAATTGGAGAATAAAACCAAGAGGCTTAAACACCTTAGAGGCCTTTTTCCAAAGGTAATCCTTCCCAAGTTTTCTGCGGACTCAGGGTTTCTGGCCACCATAACATGTAATGAGGATCTCGCTTATCGTTTGAATACATTCCTGGAGAGCGAAAGATCCTGCGTAGATTAGATGTGTTAACTCCATCTTCGAAAACCCGAGTGAATTCTAAATAACTTCGGAAGACGTTCTTTGGAGTAAGCCTAAAGGATGCGTTCATTCTCATGGATCAATCCCCCGGTTCTTTTGGTACAGTCTTTATGACCTTTATGACTACTTGTTATGTTTGGAAGATATCCTTCGGAGGAAGGCCAAAAGATATGTTCATTCTTGTGGATTGATCCTCCGTCTCTTGGTACAGACTTTTTGAGTATCACTTATATTAGTAATATGCTCTTAATATAAAGTTTGTTGTACGTAATTTTGAAAGTCTCTCCAAGGCTGTTAAACCTAAGATTATAACATGAGTTCTCCCTGGAGATAGCATTCGACATGATTTGAAAAAGATCCATGATTAATAAAAGGAGTTGTGTTTATGCTATGAGAAAATGGAGATGTTAAGTTATTTACTTAGGACAATCTTTGTTCATGCCGAAATAATTTGATCCCTTCTTTTCCTATTTTCAAATATGAATGAGATCATACTTACTTTGGAGGACATAAATGAAGAGGTTTTCGTCATGGACGATCACGTTCAATGTCCAATTACTTTTCACAGTTGTGTACAGGAACTATCAACATTAAATATAGAAACTGTTTTATGTACCTGAATTTCGCGTTTTCTTCGTGAAGGAAGAAGTTGTAAAACAGAAGAACACAGCTGATTATTACTGTAATTACCTCGAAGGCGATATAAAAGTTGAAACCTGAACATGTTCAATTTTATTCTTTGAGAATTTTTATTGGAATAAACGGAGAAATTTCCGTAACGGGTTGTTCTGTAGTGACTGAAAGAGCCGAGGATGTAGTTTTGGTGATACCTACTTTCCCCCTTTTATTAACTTTTTTTGTTGTTTTATTTTTCATTTGTGTTTTTGAACTTTAAAAGGCATGTGTTTTATAATGGTCATTGCAAGATTATAATCAGCAGTTTCCAAGCTATCGTTTTTTGTATTTGTTTTTTTTAAGTTAGCTCTTTGCCTTAATAATTATTTCACGAGGATGCAAACTGAGGTTGTGATGTCTTGGTTAATAAATACGACTCTTTCTCGATGAATTTTGCTTTTTTTGCTTACTGAACGAAGCTTGTAAATTTTTTCTTTCTCGATGAATTTTGCTTTTTTTGCTTACTGAACGAAGCTTGTAAATTTTTCCGGTCCTCGCTGATTACCTTGTGCACTTTTAAGATTAAAATCTTGGTCTCTTCAGGTCTTCTTTCCCCGGCATTTATTTTTTTGCAAACGAGATGTCTGGGAAGCGAAGCTGTTTTTTCATCGTCGTTTTGTTAAGTTACCTTCCAATCTCTAAAAAATCTAACGTCGATTCAACTATAACCTGCCTCTGTTCTCTGAGATTAAATCTTAAAAAGTTTCGGCGATTTCATGCGAAATGCAGATGCTTGTAATGGTTTGCATGTAATGAATAGCCAAACAAGATTAACCCCTCCTTGCTGAGTAGCCTTTGTTCAGTATCGGGTTCGCACTTAATTGAGTAAAAAAGGTAAGTTAGATCTGCACTGGAACCCAAGCTACCCATTCAGCGGGAGGTTATTTTAGTTTCTGGGGCGTAAAGCAATCAGGAGTATTGTGACTCCTCCCCCCCACCCCGATGGGATAATCGCATTGTTTATCAGAGGTACCCTCCAAGTACTTTGCCAGCTTTCCTGCCCGTTTGCCCAAACCCATTTATACTCCGGGGTGGAGAGGGGCTCTGTGAGGATAAAATGTTCTGTCCAAGACCACAACACAATGACTCAGCTAAGTCTCGAACCTGGGTGTCTCGAACCGGAGTCAAGCGTGTTAACTGTTTAGCCACAGCGTCTTTATACGGACTCGGATGTCTCCGGACTTCAGACCTGGGGCCCGTTTCTTGAAAGTCCCGGTAACTTAGCGGGCCCGAGGCCATGTTTTAAAATAAAAATTCAAAGGATAGAAAAGTAGGTTCTGGCCTCCAAACCACTCCATTTTGTTTCTTTAGTTGATGGTTTCATTTTGTCATTTTGAGTTACCGGGACTTTCGAGAAACGGGCCCTTGACTAGAAGGGGAAATGTTCATACCTTTATTTTCATGTGAAACCCGGGCCAAGTTTTTGTCATATTGTAGTGGGGCGACATCTAGAAACGATTTCGGTGGCGTCGTTTTTGAAAGAGCTCCTAAGATTTTAGTCCCGTTTGGAATAACCTTTTGCGCAAGAAATTGAAAAAGACATATACTCGCAAAAACTCATACTCGTTTTGCCCACCAGTAACCATGGTGGGACGACTTGAATACCTATTGCATGAAGGTTAAATTGTAATAAAATTGTGAACGTTCATTAAACATGGAAAATGTGCGCTTAGGACGGAGGTGAAGCTATTTGCAATCAGGTGAGACAATATAAGTCGGGAAAGTGAACGCCTTGACTAGGTGAATCTCCAAAATATTCGGTAGCCTTTATCTCCAAATATCTGCTGCATGTTATATTAATCCAGTGTGTTCTTTTCACTACAATAACTCTTTCTGACCGTCAGAATCAGTTTGTTTATTTGCTAGATAAAGCGAAAGCGCCGATATGATTTTTTTTCTGAGCCTCCTATGTGGGTTGTTTAAAATACTTTCATTGAAACTTCTCCTCTTTCAACATGAAAAGTTTCCTTGTCGTCGAAAGATAAATAAATAGTTCGACCCAGGAAAGAGTTTTAACGGTGTTAATCAAGAGTAATCTTGATTAGAAAGAAGCACTTCTTCGAGTTGTTCGGACTCAAGGACGACTGAGTCGTAAAAATGGCGTAGAATCAGCATCGGTCACTATAATTTACATTTCTGTATGAAAGATAATATTCATATTCCTATTGAAATATTTGCATTTCCCCTTTGGCGAGTCCTTTTAAGTTCTTGTGACATGTTATTCCACCTGCTCCTTGGCTGAGGTTGGAGACATTTTCATGTAAGCGTAGCCAAGAGCTGTATGTATCCATTGGAATATTCATCGTCACGGTTCAGTCATATGCTGGCGGCGAATCCATTCTGGAGAAGTTTTTGAAAGCAGTGTCGAGGAGGTAGGGGATTTATTAAGGTTGCAATTTACAATTTGTTATCATAATATTTGGACCTAAGTTGTCAAAAAAAACCTCTGTGTCGGAAAGACTACAATGTTGGTAACATAAGTAAACTGTAACCTTTTTAGAACAATTGCTTTATTTTAAACCAAGATGCGTCAAGACATTCTTAGCATTAGTCAAACTCAGCTGTTTCATGTAAGACAAGCAAATATCGATAGAATAAGACAGTTAATTCTTGAAGGTATCAGACTTACGAAATATATGCTTGATGGTTTTGATGAGACAATGCTCTTGTCAGTCCATTTGTTTACAACTCAGCAAGAAATACCACAAAATACATGTTGTTGGAGAGGCAAAATGGCTCAGTGCGCTGCAACTAAACTGAGAATAATTTCTCAAGTTCAAAGCTTTCACTCTGCCCACACACTGAATTGATTGCCAGGTAGTGTCGTTCTTTAACTCCCTCGCTGAGCGTTGAAAATAGCCAACGGGTTTTCCTTCCACGAGTTGAGTTTTCAGTCTCATTTATTCATTTTTTAAAGTGTTTACAATGTCCTCAGTTAGTTCCAAGATGCAAACACACAGAAAGTAAACAAAAGCTATTATTGTTAACCTATTTAAAGCACAGAGCTAATGGAAATATTAGCATTTAGTTTAATGCAGTGTCGGTTTTTTCAGCTTGTGGATTCATGTAAAATTAACTTCATTTATTTCATCCGTGGCAAAAAATGCCAAATTTTATTGTTGTAGCTTGGAGATGCATTTTTAATTGATAAACGATTCAAATCATGCAAAGATAGGCGACATCGGCGATCATTTTGGTGACCGACATTTTACCGGTGGAGGATTTAGTGCTTTGAACGTCAGTAAAGTAGCGTCTGTCAAATTAAGGCTTTTGACCATACAGAAAGTTGCTTTTGATCTTTTTTTTAAAATATAGAAGAAAATGATGCTTATGCCTTTCTTATATGAGTTTACGTTGTTGAAAAAACTATCGATTGACTCATGAAAATTACGATGCTTATTTGTTATCAACAGTCAAATTGTTCGAAATGCCATCAGGACTACAGGGTGTGGAACAGAACGATGGTGACACTGCAGAACTGTGCATTGAACGCCTGTTAACAAAACTCTCTGAGGTGGAAATTGTATTGGCGGCTCACGAAGGAAGAGCAAACCAGATGAAAAAAGAGCGAGATGCAGCCAACGCAGCCAACGAAAGACTACAGAAAGAAATAACTAAATTAACTAATAATCTTTTGAGAAATAGATGGAGCTCTGCAGTTCAGAATATTGGAATTATCGAAGAACAAGAGAACGGAGACGGGAACTTTGAAGGAGGTATAACAATCACTTTATGATTTTAACTTTCACCTTCCTTGATTGGTTTAAAATGGAGGAATCTTGGCTGTTGAGACACTTAATTTTATGCATCTTGTCTCATAACATTAGAACGTCTTTGCCAGAACTACCGATGTTCAGCTTCTCAAACACAAGTCAAAGAAAGGTCTCGTTTCAGTTGTTTCCGAGTTTCTCGGACTGGATAGAAGCTGCTGCTTTGCGACCCAACCATAGAGAAAGCTATTGGCCACTTTATAACCGAGTTGGAGACTTGGGCGAGTTTCGCGCCGCTATGGTGCTTGGGATCATCACCAGGGACAGATTTGTTATAAAGTCTTGTTCTCCAGTGTTGTCATGTAGAAAGAACATGGATAAAAGCAAATTTTCACTAACGGTTTCTATTTTATTTCCAACATGGCAAACCAGAAGACGAGAATTACGACTTGGCCTTGAACCGAAGGCGCCGAGGCAGTCTCCCTGTGGCCTCCATGCGACGAAGAGGTTCCTTAGATCACCCAAAAGATTTGAGAAAACTGCTTGACCAGCGAAGCAATGAGGTGCTACAACAACGACAGCAATATAGGATCTTTGCAAACAGGTTTAAACAAGAAGTACGCAGGTGCAGCAGGTTGGAGCAAGACACAGAGCGCTTGAAACAACTCCTGGTAGATTTGTTATCCATTCATAACAGATTCCATCGATCGTATGTGTTTCCGTGTAATAATGTTACAGCAGTAGTAATCATCGTATTAATTGCCTTAACTATGATTGGAATAATTGTGTTTAACATAACTGAAATAAGGTTTTCACGGGGCTATGTTCGGTAGCCTGGCGCAGGGTAACGTTTTCAAACCTTTTTCCATATTTTCCATATTTATCTAAAACTGAACAGAAGGAGAAATTGTTTGAAGAATCTCTTGCTCTTTGTCTTTGTAAAATGTCATTGAATTTTCCACGTAGTTTCTGATCACACTTATAATATACAATAGGCCTCAAACAAAGACAGCTTTGAAAAAAATCCCCAGGCTAGAGAGCGATCATCCCCATTAGGTGCACATAAGAATTTACTATTTTTTTTCTTTTAAGCACCTTAAACCAACGGTATGATTCTAAAAGGTTATGTTACATTTTTGACAAGAAGCCACAGCCCACCTTAGTATTTAGAGAAGGTGGTAGTGGGCCAAAAAAAAGGTATGAAGTCATTTTTATCATAATATTCGTGTGATATCCTCAACCTTGCGTAGTAAATAGAGAATGATATGTGGGGGTGCGTATAAGATCCCAGTTTCAATGAAAAAGTAAGTTTTTGCACATCAACGGTCGCTTCCCATTTCTTCAGCAATAGATGCTCAGTAAGTGAATCAGTTTTTCTGCGATTACGACTAAATGTAGATGCTATAACATTTAACCGGTAGGGATGTTTTTCGGTCACAAATGAATAATAATTTCGTAAATAACTCAAGAAAATATAACAATGTTTTAAACATTAAGAAATACTCCGATTGTTTTTTCTTCGAAGGTTTAGCGTTTATACAGAGTATTAAAAATCGGTTGTGGACAATAATTGTTGTCTTATCTTATCTTTAGTTTTCATCACTTAAAAAACAGACATGTTTAATTTCTATGGGTAACTCTAGAGATGCATTTATTCTCAGCGAAGGCTCTTTGGGTATGATGTTTTGTCCAACACCAATTTTTCAGCCAATACAACGGCTCCAAACCTGAACTCTACGGCCGCTACATCGACGACTGTATCGGCGCCACCTCCTCTACCAGAGAGGAGCTGACTCAATTCATAACCGCAGTCAATTCTTTTCACCCGGCTCCGAAATATACCTGGGAAATTTCTGACAATTCTTTATCCTTAGAGATATCAAAGTTTCAATGAAGGCAACGGTTTATGCACAAGTGTGTATTACAAACCTACAGACTCGCATAATTAATTGTTGTATTCTTCGTCGCATCCATCTCACGTTAAGAATTCCATTCCCTTTTCTCAGTTTCTAAGACTTCGTCGTTTATGTAGTGATGACTCTGATTTCCACCACAAATCAGAGTCAATGTGCCAGTTTTTCGATAAACGCGGCTACCCTGATTCTGTCGTTCAAGCGAGTTACCACCGCGCCCAACTTATTGATCGACATTCAGCACTACAAACGTCACAAAAGGAAGATTCCGACCGCATTCCATTCACTCTCAAGTTTCACCCTCACAACCACTCAGTTAAATCCATCATTCTTAAGAACTTTAAATTACTCAAAACAATCCAGAGACAATCACTATCTTTTCGCAGCCTCCGCTCATTTCATTCAAACGCGACAAAAACATAGGCAATTTTTTGGTCAGAAGTTCTTTTCAGACTAATGACCAACCAGGCACTTTTAAATGCGCTCGTGCACGATGCAAATCGTGTCCTTTCATTCACAACACTGAGAAAATATCGGGATCCAAACGATCCATTAAGATCACCGATCACTTCACGTGCACCTCCGCCAATGTAATCTATTGCATAACTTGCACTTATTGCAAAATGATTTACCTCGGCGAAACAGGCAGAAGACTAAGTTTCGATTCCGAGAAAACCTTCGCGACGTGGAGAGGAATGACAAGGACACATCGAAAGCAGTCGCTAGACATTTTAATTTACCTAATCATTCTAAGCAACACATGGCAATCTGCGGTCTTTCCTTACACTTAGGTAGTACGGAAAGCCGTAAAACTCTTGAAAAAAAGGTCATCTTTCAAACCGGCAGTCTAAATCCCACAGGTATCAACGAACGCTTTTCATTCCACTAATTTATTTGTGTTTTTCTCGTTGCCATGTTCCCACCAATAACGTAGCTCCATTTTCTGCCTTTAAAAGCATACTCAACCCACAATTCCTCTATTCGCTCCGAAGAGGGGCTAACCGAAACGTCAGCTTTTATAATCGTAACGGTGGCCAATTTACCATTTCAACTTTGTTGATATATTCAAATTATTTCTTTGGGTATGAAGTTTCCTTCCAATGTCAGTCAATTCATTCTAAAACGAGGGAGTAACGAGGTCATTTTGGTTTTATCAACTGAGTCGATAATGTAATTTGGCCACAGTCAAGAGTTTCAAAGCTGACGTTTCGAGCGTTAGCCCTTTGTCAGAGCGAAAGGTAGTTTTGGTTTTATCAAACCAAAATTATACTGCTAGTTATGGTTTGATGCCAACATCCGACAGAATAGCCTTCAGCAAACTCAAATCATTTTATTTCTTAGTAGGTATAAAGAACGTTTAAATAATACTAATATAAAGAACGTTTAAATAATACTAATTTGAATTAATCCTCGTCAAATGAAAGAACCCGGAGGTGGGTTTTCCGCTGATCATGACTATGTATCAGTTTCTGGCCCGATTCTCACTCGGTCACAACTGCATGAAATAACCAATTTACAAAGCAGCTCCACAAGGCAAACAAATCAACTCCATAAAACCCCTCTACCGGGGAGGACGGCAATCTTAAACTACTGGTTACTAAGATAAAATGAAATAAAACCCCTGTTATAAGAAATGCAAGCAAAAACACGGCGAAAATACGACAACCACAACAAAATAATTCACAAACTTTGGATTTTTTCTGTGGCAATGGTTTCGTTTTCAATTTATCTGTATCAGATGGGATCATAGGTTTTTCGCTTGGCGCAGCTGGTAAAGTCGTTTGTACTGAGACGGTGTTTGTTGCATCTTCTCCGAGCCTGTGAGTATGCAAGGTGTCAGAGTTAAAGTAGCAGCATTCATGCGCCGATGAATCTGCTAAATTGTCAACTCTCCTCTCAAGATTTTTCTCAGCGATTTCAAGCAACCGCTGGCCTTCGGCCAGTCGACCTATATCTCTATTAACTCCCTCAAATTTTTCCAGCCGGCGATCCATTGCCTGTTTTATTTTTTCGATTTCCTCACTCAAGTTGTCGGAAAATTCAGCGAGAGCATGTAGATGCTGGGATATTTGATCGTATCGGTGGGTCTTGTCGTGAACCATCGCGCTATTGGTATCCAGCCTGTTTTTGAAGTCTTTGTTACGCTCGATCAGTCTCACAATCTCGGCTTCTTTCTCAACCAGCAGCTCTTGTAACGCATATACTTGATTCTGCAGTCTGAAGTTGTCGTCTTCGATCTCGTATTTTGACCGCTGCAGTTCTACCCACTTATTTTCAATCTGAAGAAAGCTCAGCCCTGAAAAGAGAAAACAACACAAGTCAATTACCTATAATGATTAAATCTTAGCGTAGGATGCGATAGTAGGATTGTATTCAAAATACTTCTTTCCTTCCCCCCACGGGTCTTTTCCCTTTAAGTGTGTGTGTGTGTGTGTGTGTGTGTGTGTGTGTGTGTGTGTGTGTGTGTGTGTGAGGGGTGGAGGAGGGGGAGAGATACATTCAAAGTGTGAGCGCCTTAAGTACGAACTTGGTCTTCGTGCGACTATTTTTTTCTCTGCTCATTTTGTAACTTGGCCAGATCACACTTTATGGAGGTACTGCCTGTCAGTGTTTGAATGAGTAACTTAACCCTTCAAAACTTCACATCAAATAAGCTTAAAACTCGACATTGGAGGCTGCATTTTTGAAAAGATCTCAATAAAGTAGCTGTAAGCGAAATGGCAGAAATTAGAACGAGAGACTCCCAAGACTTTACTACTTTCGATGGTTGTTCGTGCAAAAAATGATTATCTAGTTACGGATGGATTTTTATGTAGCTCATAACTGTTCAAAACTATCCTAACAATATATTGAAAGACAACCAAACAAACAAACAAAAGAACAAACAAAAACAAGAAAAGTGACACTGTCGCATCACAGATAAGCGGCCAGATTTGGAGTCGAAAACTTGAGGCAGTGTCCATGGACGGTCATGGACGAATTGTTCTTACGTTTGAAAACAAATTGCGAAACGTCAAGACGTTGGTTACTTTTTGGATTATGTATCGAGCTGGTTTTGACTCGCGCTAAAAGGAAAAGCGGTCAATAAAAATATTTACAATGGAAATAGTTCTAGTCAGGTTATTTCCCATCGAGAAATCCACGCTCGGCTGACCTTCATTAGTCCAAGTTCCAGTCCACCAGGCAAAAAGAGCCAGTCTGTTCACCAGTCCTCGTACCAACTTACGCGGTAAAGCAAGAATGAAACCAATCACGGACATATCGTTTGTTAATGGTCCTTTAATGAAAGAAAATTGTCATTAGTATCAAGTCAGTGTAAAGGAGGCTAAGTCTGAGGTGGAAAAAAAATCATGCCGTCATTTATTTCTTTCCACTGGCGAAATACAGAGAAATAACCCTCCTTTCTCTTCATGTAGATATCTTTCGAGTAGATTCTGCTTTATCTTTAGCGTATTCGTTTGAGGTGTTCCTATGGAGTAGATTTTGACAAGAAAATATCCACTCGTGTCATCCTGGTAACCTAAGTTTGATTGGCTGCCTTTATTCCTACAGTTAATGATTCCAAAATGCATTTAACTATTATCAAATGGAAAATGGCTGGAAAAGTTTTGTATGTGTCTATCATGATGTTTTGTATGTGTCTATCATGATGTTTTGTATGTGTCTATCATGATGTTTTGAATATGCACCCGACTTGAACCTGTTGAAAGATATTTTCTGCGAACCGATTGACCAGTATTTTACTCTTAAAGCTATTTTAGGTAGCCGGCTGTCGTATAATTTCTTCACAAAATTGTGAAAACTTTTCTTTTAAAACTATGGATCGAAAAAAAAAAAAAAAGAAAAAAACCTATGTTTCTGCTGTTCAGCGACATTGTTACATTTTCCAAGCACGTGCTCATCGTATTTCATCTTCTTTTGTTCGTGATCTTGCAAGCACGCGCATAATTAGTCTGTTGAATTTTGAAATTATGGCGTATCACACTGAAGACCACTAGCATAAAACTCAAATAGAAAGATATTCAGCATTAAACAACGAACTGCGTTTCTGGTTGGGATGGTTTCTATACATGCAGATATTGTCTTCTTCAAAAGAAAGCAATTCCACACCCACATATCATATCATACCTTTCTCGTATTTTCTGCTCTTTACATTTTCTGGATCATCCACGCAGATTCCCCTTTGTAGATTTTTTACCTCGTGTTTCAATAGCCTGTTGTGTGCGACAAACGTGTCCCTCTCCTCCCTTAAGTAATTACATGTGGCTTGTTGTTCTTCCAAGGCTCGCTCCAGTAGATACATCTTCGTCTTCCAAGATGATTCATGCTTGCTGCTATTTTTAACATCATTTTCGGATGTTTCCGAACTGGACTCTCCAGTTTTAGTATCTGCGGTTGCGTTGCCTTCACCATGGTTGTTATCCGCCATGGCGTTATTTTAATGTCACAAGTTCTTTTCCTGTAAAACACTGTAAAAGAAGAATGGTAAAGGTTTGAAAATCAACCTTTCCAATGCATGAAATGTAACAATTGATTAGTTGTTGTCGCAAGAACACGCACGCGCATGAAAACCTGAACGGAAAATACTTGCACGTGCTGTCGTGCAACCTGCATGCTGCTGAAGAAGAATGAGGAGTTCATTCAACCATTATTATTGCGTTTATTTTTGAACAAATAAGTTTGTCGTTTCTTCTGTAACAACAGCAAAAATCCCTTCAATTTGTGCTGACTCGTAAGTGGAGATTTCATTGCGCTGGACTCAAGATCTGAGAATTTGGAAAATCACAAATTGAAAATCACCGAGTCTTGCCAGTTGTTATGAACTTTGAACAGAATTTTACTTTGAGTAACTGATACTTGCATCATGTTAGTGTTTGCACTATGACTAAATTTGGTTTTTTTTCGGCTAAATAAGAAGAGGCAATTAGAATCAAAACTTTTTCCTCTTCCAAATATATAATGTTTTCGAAATTTGAAAAGGAACTTTTTTATCGTTTTCAGCACAGTTGAATGTTTGAAAACCTTGCTAAACTTATCATATTGATGACGTGAATTACATTATCTAACCAACTTCTCTACGAACTGCCTAGTTATCCACGTATTTGATTATGGTCGCGATAACCAGTGTTAAGACCACTTTCTCACGGTTCACCACGTTTGACATTAACAGCCGGATAGACTTAAAACCACGCTTTAGCAAACGCAAACGGAAAAAAAATCATCTTTTTTTAACACACTTTACATCTAGCCATTTATTAACTCAGAAGAAAAAAAAGTCGGATTCGAAAGGAGAAAAGAAAAACAATCGGCATTTTACCCCCTTAAAGTGCAAATCATTGAGGGATAAACAGGGAAATTTCCCTCCTCACTGATCGCCAAAAATTGGCTTTCAATCTCCAGCATTGATACGTGACCCAGTCAGTAATACTTCAATTCACTCATTCACTCATATGATTTTCAACGTGGACACCGAGTGTAAAAGATTGCATAACGTCGTTGTTCTGTTGATCTTAGTGGCGTGATTTTCGTAGTGGACTTTTGATTATGGAGGGTAAATCACGTCCAACGGATTATGTTCAGTTCTAACGACGTAAACAGAATTTGTATATTTTTCTCCGTTTGAATGAAAGTACTATTTAAAACTCTTAATAATTTACCAATCATTGGTCTAAACAGTGCTATTCTAAAAAAGAGAGAAAACCATTGCAGCTTAATTATAATCCGCCGATTAAGAAGCGAACAAAGAATTTTGTCTCTTAAGCTAATTTCTCCGTGAATATTTATATCTTTTTTTATTACTGGCACTTTAACTGCAGTCAAACAAAAACCAAGGAGAAATACTCCAAACCTGATATGTGTGAAATTTTTTTGTAACAATTCTCCTCTAAATATTGAAATAAATGGATCTTACCTGAATTACGGATTATTTCGTGAGGTACCGACAGACAGTTCAAATAGTTCTATAATGGCTGGTGATCAGCAGAGTAATAAGCTTAAAACACCATGCTTCCTAATTCCTATGTGCACGCGATCACCACGTGACTCTTGTGCGCGGTCCATGAGTGATTCTTCTCCTCACTTTGACATGGGGACCCGTGGTCAGTCAAAGATCTTCAAACGCTCGTTTTTTAGTCTAAACTGTAAATCATTTCCACAAAATTGCTTTTCTAATTCGATTTTACATCTGAGTGACCTAAAGGATAAAAGTAAATCAATTTTCTATGGGATTTTTTCAACTTTCGTAGTTTGGTTATCAGTGCAACTATTGGTATTTTGTCATCAACCTACGCACAAAAGAGCATAAAAGATTTATGGGAGTCACAATTTTCGGAGTGGCATTTTTTGTGTCGTACAGGAGCAATTTTTTGTAGTCGGAAATACTTAAGTCTCCATCCTTCCCAAGCAGCAGAACTTAAATGAAGACATGATGTAATAATTTTAAAATTTTCTAACTTTTAGAGATCTAAGAAGTATGTTTCGGTCGAATAAAGTGAGTTTGAATTTTTTCCTGCTTGAGGAGATTTTCATTTGACTAGCGGGACCAATTTTTTTTAAGGAGCGTTCTATTTTGCAGCATCATTTTAATTCTGTGGTAACTTAAGTTTGCAGGTCGAAGGCAATCAAATGAAACCGCCAAAAAAAGGATAATTGGCTAAGTTCATCTCTTTCTTCCACGTAGATCTATTTCTTATTTATTTTTTGCCTTGTATACTGTAGATTGGGATTTCATCGATCATATCTGCATATCAAGTTAGAGTTCTAATCATTTGTAGCTGTAGGCGGTTGCACCCTGATTAGAGTAAGGTAGAACGTCACGCGTGTTGTGTGACGAGTTCAAGTCTCTCCAAACCCCTTCGAATCACCCCACAATCCCACGGGGTCATTAAGAATCTCATAGTCCCGCCAGTTCAAGGCGTCAGTTAAATTTTGCCATCGTCTACGACACTCTTGAACTGCGAGAAAAATGGCTTCTGCAATGGTAGGTTCACTTTTGCTTGAGGTTTGTGTTGTTAGATATAACATAGCCATTGTAGTGGTGAAATCGCGCGGGAAACTATTTGATTGATCGGAGTAACAGACCTGTAATGGAAGGTGTTTATGATTGATTTGTAAGATATGTGGCGCGAAGTGTTATCCCGTTTGTGAATGAATTCTGGAACTAAACCGATATTGAAATTGTCAGCTCTTATGTTGGAAATAGAGATACCGCAAATTGATTTTTAGTCTACGATTTCTAACACTGATTAGATAAAAATAGCTTGTCTGTGTCTGTCAATAACTTTGAATGAGGCTTTTGTAAATATCAACATCCACATGTCAAGAGGGACTTTTATGTGTCTTTATATGTACCATGTCTAAGAAATCCGAGAAGTGCCATGGTTACGCTGTGAACAGGTAGATCTGCAAATGTATTACGCGGATGGAGGTTTTTTTACTCCGATTTGGAAGGCTACTTTGTAAAGCTACGACTTCGACTTCGAAGTCCAGACGCTCTCTCCTATGAATTATTAAAAAATGATGTGCATTGTTCAATTCAGATAAAGATAGCTTTTACCGAATCGTTCCTGATTTTAGCGTGTATCGTAATATATGGTTATATAATAAATTTCCTCAAGAAAAATTCGTCGGTGCTTTTTCAAATCGGTTTATTCTTTTTGAAATTTAGATATTTGGAACATTTTTTTTTCGTAGACAAAACCTTTGGCACAGCGGGTTAAAGCTTCTTTTGCAGGTTTTTGTGATGAATATTCCATGACACGTTAATGTCCTTGACATGTTGTAAACTCAATTAACAATTGAGAGGTTAGATCTTGGGATTCAATTAATAGAGGCCGCCCTTTCATCATTTTGTATAATTACTTGGCTTGTCATCTGGCTTCTAAACCTGTTACTCCCAGATGAATTAAATGTAACTTCTTCTTATATGATCAAAAAATTATCTCAGAAATTAGGGATGAGAATTGTCTAATTTATCATCTCAGAGGTTTTTAATCAATTAGACACCAAAAATTTTTGCATCAAACTTTCAAGATTTTCTTGGCCTCTAGAAAGAAAAGAGTAAAATCAAAGCAGATCGTGGTGGCAAAAAAGTAAATTGTTATTCCATTATGTACCATTCTTCCTTTTAATGTACATTGAATTGTCAACAATAAGAAATAGAAGCAGGAAGCTCTTGTGATTCACCTGTTGTTTCATTTCAACTCATTTAAACTTTCTGTATCATTACATTTGTACTTTGCATTACTATTAGACATGCATTTAATTTACATGATGATGATCAAACCACAAGGAAATCTGTTTTGTTTGAAAAATTAATTCAAAAGCAGAGATACAAGCTAAGTTAAGGATATGAGCTACGTCAAGAAATACTTCGTTACACTATACCTAAAAAAAATTTTTTTTATTACTGAGATGTTTTTGCAAATGGGAAAAATTGCAAAACTCCTTTTTTCTCACTGCCATTTTCCTAGCTCATTAGAAGCCTCAATTGACAAACTCCTTGTTGTACTAATTTTGTGTTTTTAATCCCGAGTGATATCTACCTTTCTTGTATGTAAATGTATGATTTTAATGGGGATGGACAGCTATTTGTTCATCTCAATCTTGTTTTTTGCTGTGCTACAGTCATTTTTAATAGAGTTTAGATGTTATATATACAATGTAGTTAATTGTCTGGTTTTTACAGAAAACAAGACGGTTCCTTTAGGTTTTCTAGAGAAAAAATATTTTGGGCCAGGAGAGAACTTCATGCTCTAAATTAGCTTTATGTTTTATTATTGTATGTTCAGTTGTATCCAAAATTGGTTTAGAACCTTCCCATGTAGGGCAAAGAAGTTTTGAACCCTTGCATTCCCTGAAGCAATTTTAAATTTGTAACATCTCTTGATTTAAATTCTCCATCCATAAAACTTTTGTCATGAATAGACAGTTGCATTGATCAGCTGTTGTATATTAAAGAGATAGAAGACAAGATTCTCTCAACTGATTTATAGAGGAATGTAGGACAGTTAGGAGAGAGAATTTCATTTAGGAATAAGGTCAATTTAATTAATCTCCGTACAGTTTTCTATACATTTCCTAAGGTACTTGCTAGGAGAATTTGTCTAACAATCAAGAGCTTCCTTAGTTGGTGATCATTTCCATTTTTCTTGCGACCTAAATGTGTGATTCAGGGAGGTTATTGTACATGTGTGGAAAGATAAGATGCCACTTACTCTTAGTGTGCGAGGAAATTTTTCAAAGGACCTGTGATCATGTGTAATTGTCTTATTAATTAATTTATCTATTCGTGGTTACCTGTGTAAGTTAGAGTTGGGATTTTAACAAACCTGTGACACATTTCATTGTGTTGTATCATTAAGATCATAGTTCTGTACTTTGTCTTTAGGCGCAGAAAGACCGCATCCTTATCAAGGGTGGAATTGTTGTTAATGATGATGACATGATTGAAGCTGATGTCTTCATTGAGAGTGGAGTGATCAAGTGAGTAGTCAGCTACCTTATGAACACCTCTCTCTCATGGCATTGTGGGAATTAAAAAAATATCAGTTAGTTGTGTGATTAGATCTGTTATTTGTTGATGCTAAATAGAATAGTTTTGGTGACGTAGGGTCACAATGAGTAGATTTATGGTCAGAAATTTCAGATGAAACCCAGCTTGTGGCAAGATCATCCTGAAGCTAAGGAGTTAGCTTCTTCCACTGATGGCACAGGTATTATGTCTCGGTCTCCTTTTCTGTAGCCATGAACCAGAATATCGCAATTTTCAAACCTTTTCATATACACAAAGATTTGATTAATCAAGTCAGTTCTATTTTATTCTTCACCAAATTATGTACTTTTTTTGAAAAGTTAGGGGTTAGGGGCACTTAAAGTGTCATTATGATACCTTATATTAAGATGTTTGTGTCTTTGCTGCAGCACTTGAGCTGTGGCAGGGGCATAAGAAGAGCATTGTTGATAACAGTAGAGGAAAAACATGCTGATTATTATTATTCACTGTCTTTTTCCCTGGTGGGAAGATTTGGCTTGCTATATGTGTGTAAAGATTTTGATATTTCTACCTCCCTCCTGATCTGAGTTTGAGGTTGATGCAGAGCAGAAGGGAACTAGCCTAAGGGCAATTTAAAGCTGAAAAGCATTGTTTTTCTGGAAAAGAAAGTGTATTAGATTGTTTCAGGAAAAGTTGTTCCCTACTAAGGTTTAAGTTACATTGCTTGCAATTCTCCTTTTTCTGTGGGCAGGGCTTATAAATATTTACTTTGTATATGGTACAGTTACACAACACTGTATAAAGGAGAATGTGCCTAATTTATGTAGTAAATGTGGTATTTGTATATTGCGTTTAGCTATACAGTATATGTCTCTTTGATTGACTATGGATCAATTTTTTTAAGTTTTTCTTTCTGTTCAGGGCGCAACAAAAGTGCTGTCCAATAGCCCGGGGCTAGTGGAATGACTTGTTGGGCTAGCGTTTTCTTATCGCAGCTTGCTGGACGGGCAAGCACCACCAAGCACCTCTGTTCTGATGATGATAAATTGAGCTTTTATACCAAAAACTGTATAGCAGAAAACTCATGAGGGAAAAGGACAACATTATGAGGCCAAATTATTGTAGCATGACAACGTCTTGCGCCACATTTTAGTTGCGTCCTTAAATAATGTCATGACTTTTTCTGTTTACATAAGTGGCCGAAATATATTTTTTGAAATGACAATATTTGCCGACTGACAGCGTGCAGTGCGAGACAATCAGTCTAATTAAATTCCAGCCAAGTCATGGTTCAGTGGATTTTCTTGGAATTTTAGGTGCGTTTCGTTGGGAAAATCCAAATCGGGATTCTTGTTTCTATTTAGGGCTGCCAATTCATTATTAAAACAAAAAAGGCCCACTTCGTGTAACATTAAAAAACAAGAAAATACTTGCTTGGAGAAAAGCTAGCAGACCTGGTGCCGTTATCGAGTTGTGTGTTTGTTTTTATTTTTTATCGGATGCTAACGGCGCCAGGTCTGGAAGAGTTTGTCAGCGACGAGCTTTGAAGAGAATTTACTCCATTGAATGTCGACAGACTTCAGATTACAGTGGTAGTTTAATTGACCGATCGCAACGTTCATGACATTCGCAAAAATAACTGTGTTGTGATTTTCATAAATTTATAGTATTTTTCACTACTGTTGACGGGGTAAAATGTACATATTGAAGGAACAAACCCATTCGAGTGCAGAGGTTATTTTTCCTTAAGTATTTCGCCCATGTTTGAATGAAATTTTACTCTGAAGCAGATTACAGATCACAAGATTAGATCACATGACTGTATTTGGAATAGCCCATTACCGAATTACCCTTGGCCTCTTTTTCAAAACGAGGCTTGGTGCTCAACCATTATTTTGAAAATGAGTTTAATTTGCATGTGAATGAGAACTTATAATCATATGAAAGGATGAGTATCAGGACTCATTTTGAAAATGACACCAAGGGTAATTCGGAAATGGGCTATTCTCGTCCACAAAATTTTGATGTAAGTTGTAACTGCCACTTCTGATGGTCAGGTATAAAAACTGGTCGTTTCTGTTACATTGTTTAATTTGAGGTTGAAGTTAAAACGAAAATCACATTCAAGAATCAAAATATACAAAGAATTAGTTTATATCTATGCTTGGCATCATTACTTGTATTTTGCATAATTAAATAAATCTATTTTATCTTTTTTAAACAATTTAATTTTGGGCTAGCTCCTCAGATCTTCGGGCTAGTAATCTCAAGTAACAGCTTGCCTGAAGGGCAACCTTGTCTTTTCCTTTTCATCTCACCCTGCTGTTTCCTTGTTTTTAACTTAAAATGAGACTTGTACAATAAATTTTGTATGTACTGACAGGAATGTTTGATATATTCTCTTTCTAGGGAAGTTGGCAAAAATCTTGTTGTTCCTGGTGGTGCACGAGTCATTGATGCTCAGAAAAAACTTGTTATGCCTGGTAATTATGCAGTTATTTGAAATGAATATTGATGAGTACTTGTGCAAAAAACGGGTATATCTAAATTGTTAGTTTACATGAAGATTTGTTTAGTAAGTATGTTATAGTTATTGACAAATGATTCCTTTGTGGTTGTTAGTGCTCTTGAAGTTGTACAGGTTTATAAGTTGTACAGATACGGGTGTACAATACACTTGGTAGATATAATGATATGTATATTGCAGGTTAAAGCTAATTTCAAGTGAAATGATGTCAAACTACCGGTAGTTTGAATTATGTTACCCAGTTTTTGACCCAGCATTGTTGTATTCCATTTGTTCTGGGCGAGAATGATATTTTTGAAAGATTTTGTCTTTTTACTACCAAATCATATTCATGGGTCAAGGGATGGAAAGTGAGAATGGGGTGTCTTGCATGTAAAGTTCAAGTGCGCTAAAATTCAGTTTTGTAGATGTGTATATTCATGCAACACACAATGTCATCAACACTAAAATAGGGCTTGGCTAAAGCTTGAGTCTGGTGTAATGTAAAAATATTTGCATATGTGTGAGTGGTCGATGTGTTTAAAGAGAAACCACATGTGATACTTTGTCTTTTGCTATTGTTTTTCATGTAAGAATTAAATTGTTTTCTCAAAACTGCAGACCAAGATTCCCGAAAAGTTCTTTGAGTGTGTTGATCCTTGTTTCTCAATCCCTAGTACTTGAACTTGATTTTTTATCCTCAAGTTTTCAGTAAATTTGAGGATCAAGGATCAAGTTTTGAGTCAAGACTGTCAACTTGCTTTTGAGTGGTATTGTACATTATCATTATTCTGGTCACTTCCTTTACTTCTGTTTCATGGTGTTGCTGATTCTTTTGTCAGGTGGAATTGATACTCACACCCATATGCAGCTTCCGTTCATGGGCACTGTTGCAATTGATGACTTTTACACAGGCACAAGAGCAGGGTTGGCTGGTGGCACCACTATGATAAGTGAGTAAACCGATGGAATTTTACCAACAATATATTAATTAAATTGACCCATTAATGGCCGCAGCTTTTGTGGAAAACTGTGTTTTAAAGCTAGTCGAGCAGATTTCGGGTCACTGTTGTGGTTCTAAAAGCTCAAACTTACCAAAAACCACTTGACAGCTCTTGCACTCGACGGCCTTTCGATCCAAATGCAAAATGGCGGCCTGAAAATCTCGGGCACGCGCAGAGAGCAAAATTTCGACATAGTTTTTGGGTTGAAAAGTCATGCCCCACTTACGACTTCTATTTTTCTCTCTTTCTCCTGCCCTTTTTTTCCCCTCTCCTTGCCTAAAGTTTCTCCTGACTTGCTGGAAATTGAGTAGGCTTCATTTTGGTGTAGAGATTTTTCAGAAACTACTCATTATTTTCAAAGCACATGCTCGGAAAGGTAGGTGGGTAGTGAAACACGATCTTCGTACAGATTTTCAGGTCAAAGTGACACGGTTTTTTGGCTATTTCTCCAATCTCCTCCACTCAATTGCGCTCATTCTGGTATCGTCTGTAAGATATTTTCAACCTGTTCAAGTAGGTGCTCGAATTCGTGCTCCAGGGTTAAAAGTGATGACATCACAGGGCGTAGAAAGGGTGTGGGTCCCCATGGGCGCATATGGGCGCACTGGATGTTAATGGGTTAATTAATTAATTAATGAATCAAAGCAGAAGAGAAGTAGTCAAGAAGGCTGGTAAATTCAACTTTTTATTTCACTCCAAACAGATCTCTATCTCAACTTTGTCAGGGAGGAAGCTTATTACCTGTAGAATCTTTTTTTTTTTTTATCACTGAATGTATGTCAATTTTTTTGCACTTTTATTTCTATAATATAGTTGACTTTGTCATTCCCAAGAAAGGAGAATCCCTGCTAGAGGCTTATGAAGTGTGGAGAAAATGGGCAGATGAAAAAGGTAAGTTTTAATAATGTAGGTCAGTTTTGTAAGGACAAGCTTCAAGCATTAAGAACTTTCATTATTTAATTTTCACTATTTTGTTATTTACCACATTAGGGCATCGGACTGTGCAAAGTATGGAACAGTTTTACACTTTTAAATATGAACACTGCAAAAAAATATGAACTGTATGCATTGTATGATCCAAATTCTGTTTTTATTTCTTTCTTTTAGGCTTAATGACTTTTTAAATATCAAACCTGCTAAGTCCTACAGATTTTTTTTGTTGGCCATGATAATACTGGAATTGTTTTGTTTGCAATCAAAGTGATAGTCTGATGAGGCCTTTGGATGTATGTTGTAGTTAAAATTTTTCCATAGGTAATTTTTTTAACTAGGTAAATATATTTTTTAACTAGGTATTTTCTATTTTAACCTGGTAATTTTTACTCAACTGTCTAAAAAAAGGGCCTTCATTTTTTGGGGTGTGGATGAAAAATAGGGGCCTGGTATTTTTAGGGGGTTCTTAAAAGATAGAGAGGAATTAACAAATTCCTCTCTTGGTCCCTTTTCCCTTCTATCCACCTCTACTCTTTCACTTTCTCACAATTCTGCTTATTAAATACTAACTAAGTTCCATCTATATTAATACCAATACTTCATTGAGAATAAAGAAACATTACTTACCCTCTGAGTTTTGAACCTATGACCTTTGTAGCAGATTAGATTTCCTGTCCATCACACTCTTCTCTATTCCAGACAGTCCTTGTTCTAAATACTCACTTTTTTCTTCCATTTATTCTTTCTTTGGTACCAGACTCACCTCGGTCAAAATTTAATTTATGCAAAACGTGCATGCATGTGCACTTGTATGAAAATGGGACTTATTCATTGAAAGCGAAGAAAGTGATGGAGGGTGTACCGTTTTGTGTTGCTAAAGACACATTTTACGAAAAGTTAGATGCCCTTAAAGGCTCCAAAAAAAGTAATAGTAAATTGACTGTATTCATAGATGATAAATTTTATGAGAATGCAAAGTACTGGCTCAAAAATGAACCCAAGAATCACGAGCAGTTCGGACTAACAAAGACAGATGTAGGGACGATTAAGAGAAAGCAGTGGACCATTCAAAATGACAACATCTTGTCAAAGGACCGAAAAATTGTAGTACCTAAAAGCCAACTTCATGGCATTTTATCCCAAGCTCATTCTTCAACCGCACACTGCAGGAGAGATAAAACTGGAGAGTTTGTAAAGAGAACATATGCAAAAATATCTCAACATGTTGTAACACTATTTGTCGGTCTGTGCCATCTACACCAACAACAAAAAAGTGTAACAGACCATTTGAAGCGGCCAATAACGAAACCAATACAGGCAAGTAATTTTCTGGCTCAAGTACAGTTGGATTTGATAGACTTTCGAAATTTGAATTGTTCTTGTGGAAAAAACCACAACTGGCTTTTACATGCAACTGATCATTACTGCAAGTTCTCCTGGCTTTTTCCTCTGTCACATATAACCAGTGAGGAAGTATTAGAAGCAGTCACACAACTCTTTTGGCAGGTTGGCTTTCCCAAAAAGCTTCACACAGATAATGGAAGAGAATTCAAGAATAAGAACATGATAGACTTTTGCAATAAACATAAAATTGACCTAGTTCATGGAGCTCCAAGAACTCCACAAACGCAGGGACTAGTTGAAAGAAACAACAGAACTGTTAAGGAAAACTTAGCAAACATCCTTAAGGAGAAACAAGTCAGCTTGAATACCTGGTGCAGATTTGTTGGAGAGGCTGCCTATAAGAGAAATGTCACAATACACAGAGCAACTTCAAGAAGCCCATATGAACTTGTCTTCGGCATTCTTCCCCATAGAAGCATGCCAACAACACCATCACCACAACAATGTTCCTCTATGGAAGCAGATAGACAACAAGAAGGTGAAGATGAAAATGAATGTGCAGAGAACACAATTGAAACAGAAGTTGAGGAGCCTACCAGAGTCTCAGACATAAACAATCCTACCTCCAAAAGAAAAGCTGAAGAAAGTTCATCTCAAAACAGAAAACAAATAAAAAGCCAAACAAATCAAAAACAAAATAAATACAATGAAAAAATGAGATCCACAAGACCGAGTGTAAAGAAATTTGAAGTCAATGATTATGTCTGCGTCAAAATTGATAAGATTGATAAAAGTACTGCACTTCATCCCAATGTTCTATTTGGGAAAATAGTTGAAATGGAAAACACATATGCAAGAATAGCAACCAAATTTGGTTTAATAACAACTCTCATTTCCCCCTCAAGATTGACAAAATGCTCAAGCCCAAATATTGTTTTTGAAACTACTAAAGAAATAACGTTTACAGCAGCATGTAAAATGGCAATGGAACAATAGAAAATAAAACTGCTTTCAAGTTTATTTTTATATTTGTTGTGTTTTATAGCAACAGCAAACCATCTTATTTTTCTTTCAAAACCTATTCTCCTTTTTTCTGTTCTTCAATCTGCAAGTACATATGAACCCTGACCCTGACCCTAATCCTAACCCTACTCCTAAACCTTATCGCCAACCCCAAACCTAATCCTTAACTTTAACCCTTAATCCTAACCCTAGATCTAATCCTCTGATTGACTAACTGACAGAATCAGGCTAATTGCAGTGAAGATCTTGCTCTCTCAGATTGTTATATCCTTATCTCGACAAAACCCAATATCTCTATCATTTTTATTAATAAAAAAACAGTTAGTTACCCCATAGCAAGTGAAAAAAATATTGTGGTGCAAAATTACCCACGGCAGGTTAAAAAAATTGTACCTAGTGAAAAATAAAATTTACCTTAGGAAAAAAATTACCTGCAACATCTACATGTACTGTATTTCCCCAACTAGAAGCCAAAATACTAGAAATTGAGATAATAGTGGAAGAATGGTTATTTTACTTGATGGTTTACTGGTAACATTTGAAAGGGGTGGACAATTTAGTCTGCTTATATTATACTGTGCAATTTGGAAACTATTCCCCCCTTTTTATCTGTCAAACCATGAAATTTAATGCACCATTTTTATGTTTACCTATTGAAATTGCAAAAAATAAAACCCTGCAAAACATTGTCTGGCTAAAATTGTGAAATTCATTGTCCACAAAATTAAGTGCAAATAGGGAACATATTGTCACAGTAGTAACTGGGTTTTTATTATCATCTACTTTTTCAGTATTCGTCTTTTTACTAGTATGCTCATTACTCACTCAGCTTTAACAATTTAACATGCGCTGTTTTGTCTTTAGTTGATAAAATTGTTTGCAAAGGTCACAATATTTAAATTTTTTGTCTCAGTGTGTTGTGATTATGCCTTCCATGTTGCTGTTACTTGGTGGAATGATGATGTTGGAGATGAGATGGAAACGCTTGTCAAGGAAAAAGGTGATCAGTTTGGAAAATCCCCTTGTAAATTGTATACACTTTAGAGCAGACAGCTGAGGGAAATGGAGAAAACTATTTGGCCTTAATAAAACATAAACATTCTTAGAAATAGCAAACATAGAAATGTGCAGTGTTTCCTTGTCCAAGGTGTTCCTCAGGCATTCTCTAGCCACAGTGCAGGATATTTGTGCTAAATTTTCCCTGAATTTTTTTTCATTTGATGTGGAGAAAGCCCCCCAGATGAGTTTTCAAGACTCTCTTAATTTGGCTTGTACTACATTTCTAAATGACAACCCTTGCTAAGTTTGGATATTTGGCTCTCTTATCAAGGAATGATACAATCATTTACAGACTACCTTACCCATACATCTGTATTTGACTTTTTTCTTCTCTCTCAAATTTGTCCTTAACTTATCTTTCACTGAACTTTTCTCTTGTTTTCTTAATTTTTCAGGCATAAATTCCTTCAAGACCTTCATGGCTTATAAAGATGTTATGATGCTTACTGATGAAGAGGTAAATATGTTTGAGCTTTTGTGTGGTTAACATGTATGGAGTTGACGAGGTGGAAGTGCATGTGATTTCAAGGCTTTCAAGTTTTTTTTCTTTTATTGTAAGAGTTTTAAATGATGATTGATGAAAGTGGAGGTAGGAATTCAAAAGAGCAAGAAATACCTTTTTTGTATAATCACTTTCACAGTATCCTGAATCTCTCTATTGTTGATTGTAAAAAAAACCCCACAATTTGGAAAAAATTGTGGTAAAAAGATTGCATCTACTCATGAATAATCAAGTTTTGAAAGGCCACAAACCTTGGAACTTTAAATCCTTGCCTTTAAAAATCTAATTTTCCCTACCCTCGTTTTATTCAATTCTTTTGAGAAATGGGGAAAACAAAAGCTGCAGCATTTCTACAACATTACCTTGAATCTTTTACATGACAAGAGATCCCTATTGTTTTGTTAAAAAAAATGGAACTAAATAACAAAAAATGCATTTTGAATTAAAAAAAAATTGTTTTGGTGAAATTCCTTAAAATGATAAGATCTTTTAATACTTTGACCCCCTAAGAGTTACGAGCATCTAATTTCTCCTAACAATATCGTCCCTGAATCACACATCAAGGTCAGGAGAATAAGAGAAATGATCACCAACTGAAGAAGCTTTTGATTGTTAATCAAATTCTCCTTGTCAGCACCTTTGGAAATGTTTAATAAACAGTATGAAGAATATGCAAATTGATGTTAGGGTGTAGGGTTTATTCTGAAGGTGCAATCTTTTCACACATACTTTTTTTTATGTAAAAGACACACTTACTGTATGTGTGTTTTCCCCATGATTTGGGGTTTGACTTTAAATGTCCATGTCATTTCATTCTATTAATTTCTTTTGTGTGTCTTTTTTAACAGATGTATCACTGTTACAGCAAATGCAAGGATATTGGAGCCATTGCACAAGTTCATGCTGAGAATGGAACTCTCATTGCTGAGGTAATTTTCTAGTATCTGATTCAGTACGTCTTAGTTACCACTTCGGGTAAGGTTTGTAGTATTGTGGGGAAATGTGTTCTTCAGCAGTCTTTGGTAAGAATGCATGAAGTGTTTGATACTGCATCTGCAGTGTAGTGTATGTATGTTCTTGTCTGGACAAAACTGTTTGTTTGATGCAACCAAGACATACACATGAATTTGACAGAGTTACTTTTCATTTCTGTTTAGGGCATAATCCAAAATTTTAGGCTCTCATTGATGGTATCCTTGAAGATTAGCTGTTCTCTTGCTCTCTTGCAGAATGCAAAGAAGGTGCTTGCCCAGGGCATCACTGGCCCTGAGGGACATGAACTGTGTCGCACAGAAGAAGTAGAAACAGAAGCTTGTTTACGAGCCATCACCATAGCTAATCAGGTGAGTTGGTAAATAAATTCCTCAATGCCATTTTGTATTATGCAACTGCTTTGTAACAGTTTGTTATGAAATTTTATTTCCTTACAAGTTCTTTTCAAAGTCTGCTATAGAAAAGGAAAAGTCTCCAAAATTTGCCTTGCTCCCAAATTGTGCGTTGGTAGCCCAGTTATTTGTGCTGCCCATCTAGGTATATAGATGTTAGGGTTTGAAGCTGTCAAAGCCTGAATTTACGTAGGCTTCTTTTCTGTAATTAGTTAAAGTGCAATCCACTTCTTAAAGTGCAATCCACTAGCAAGGATCATTTCTTGGCTTAATGGCAAGTCTGAGATTCACTATGACAACTATGAGTTGGTGAATGCTTATGTTATGCTTCGGTGTGGTATATTTTTTCCAACTTTCTACCCCAGCTAAACTGCCCCCTGTACATTGTTCATGTCATGAGCAAGAGTTCAGCTGATGCTATTTGTGATGCCCGGCGACGAGGCTGTGTTGTCGTAGGGGAACCAATTGCTGCAAGTTTAGGAACTGATGGAACAAATTACTACCACAAGTGCTGGAGGCATGCAGCAGGTACATAATTATATAAACCATTTCACGCCGAAATGCTAAAAGTTAGCAGTGTGCAGCATGTTACTATTAAAGTTCTTTGCTTGGAGTGTCCAGTATTTTAATTACAGTATACAACACTCATTTAGGTGGTTTTTCATGTTCTCATTACCCCACAGCAAATGAAAAAAATATTATGGTGCAAAATTACCCAGGTTAAAAAATTGTACCCAGTGAAAAATTAAATTTACCTTAGAAAAAAAAAAAATTACCTGCAACATATACATGTATATGTGTGGTCATAGAGTTATCACTTGTAACTTGTTCCTTTTTCGTTTTAACCAACTGCTTATTCTGAATAGTAATGTGAAGATTGTATTTGAATTTTTTGATTGCAGGTCATGTTATGGGGCCCCCTCTAAGACCAGACCCAACCACACCTGGTCACCTCATGGATCTTCTTGCAAAGTAAGTTCTTTACAAGCTCTGTGCTTCTTATGTATACAGGTATGTTTACCATCTAAGGCTGTATAATGGAAGAGACGATTCTGTTGAGTTTTTTCGGCAAGTGGATTTTCAATTAACCAACCCCTTAAAACAGGGTGACTGCTTGATACAGTGCCACTTATTACAAGTTTGACTGTATTGTCCAGCAAACAACTATTAGGAATACTCAAACTTATGAGGTGGCTGTTCTCTTAATGCCAAATTCTTGTGACTAATTTAAAAGGAAACGTGAAGTAGTTAGAGGAGAGAATTGACAATCTGATCTTGGGAGTTAAAAGTTTAGATATATGACTGCAATCCCTATGTATAGTCATGCTTTTGTGTATTCTCACAGCGATGACCTTCAGGTGACTGGAACAGACAACTGTACTTTCAGTGCAAATCAGAAGGCTCTTGGAAAAAAAGATTTTCGAAAGATTCCAAATGGAGTTAATGGTAAGAATGAAAAATTAGTTACAGTGCTCAGGAGTGAATTGATGTGTTTGTGTGATACATTATTTTGTGCACATGCTTTGTGAAATACATGAAACAAATGTTGTTAGCATACCTTATCATATGATTTCAAATGTAGAGGAAAGTTATAGTTTGAAAAATTCAAACTGAGTATGTGTTCCAAATTTTAATGATAAATGACTTAGAAACTTTTTGAAAATATATTTGTGATTACAACTCTTGATTACTTGAGGAGTGGTTGATGTGCTCTCAGCCTTTGTGTTTGCTAAAGTAGTGGTATGTAATAGGCCATTTTACAGTTGTGTACTTAGTTGCCAAGCCTTTGATTTGGGGTGAGGCTGAAGGTGACCTTGTCGTGATAGAGACCTGTATCTAGTTAGCATGATAACAAAGTGATTTACATTTGAAAAGCAGCAAGGTTTGTATCATAACAAGGTCGCCCCTAGCCTCACTCCCGTTCAAAGGCTTGGCAACCAAGCACACAACTGTAAAAAATGGACTATTGATGAAGTGTACTAGTACGAGGACACTGCTCATGTTTTCTTGTTTTTAGGTGCATTTGTTCATATGCATCATCAATGCACCAGCGTAAAGTTTAAAACTGTTTCGGTGTTTGTCCTTCCTTGAAACAGGGGTGGAAGATAGAATGTCTGTAATTTGGGAAAAAGGAGTGGTAAGTGTATGCGGACATCAATGATGTTCCTTGTTTTGCTTTGTACTCAAGAAAATCATTCCCTTACTGTAACTCTACAGTGGAATGTAAAACCCCTTGGTGTTCATTACTTCAAACGCTTTTCAACAGGTTAAAACGTCTTTCTCAATAATTGTGACACACAATCCAATGTTGATCTTTTCGTAGAATTTTTGAAGTAAACAGATGTTTTGATCTTAAAATCTTTTGTTCTGGGAAGATTCCGAGCGAGTGCAAGTGCGAAAATTACGTGTAGCACGCTAACTTATTTATGTTTTGGGTATTTTCCAATCAGGAACAAGATATTTCGCTAAGTTCAGAAAATTTGAGTGTAATATTTATCACACTTATTTTAATCTCTCGCTCCTCATAGGCATCGGGGAAAATGGACCCATGTCGGTTTGTTGCAGTGACCAGCACAACAGCCGCCAAGATATTCAATATCTACCCAAGGAAGGTAAATGAATTACACAGTATGTACTGTTTATCAGCCTGTTCCGCTACTCGTCGCAGATGACACTCTTGTTTCGCCATGCTCCGGTATTGCGCCTTGTATACTTCGAGCCCCGCTTGTTAACTGAACGGCTGGGGCCGGCAGGTGTCTGTGGGAATGTGGATCTGTAAGGGGGTTGGTCTATGCAACACAGAACAGACCCAGACTTACTGCCTCTGAACCGCATCGTTTTTGGTTTAATTTAATCTATTTTCCAGCCGTAGAAAGGAAGTTGTACCCAAAGGGAGTTAGGCGGGAAAGCCACTTTTGACAGTACGTGTACTGTGCCATGACAAGCTAGTAAAAGAAAATAACGTATGTTGATGTCACCACTACGTCTCATTGAGTGAACTTTTCTTTCCATAAGGGCCGTATCGCCGTAGGATCTGATGCAGATGTCATTGTATGGGACCCTGAAGCCACACGAGTTATATCTGCCAAAACTCACCATCAAGTAAGTGTTCCTGCAAAGTTTAAATATATTTAGTCCTCTATGACGTAGAAATATTTTTGATTTTCAAACTTACATTTGTCCTCACTTAGTTTAGCTCACTAACGAAAGAGACAGATGTTCTTAGATAAAGGAGTCTCTTATTGTTTAGGTTGAAAAGAAATAGACGAATGAATATATAAATAAGAAATGAAAAGCCTCCATGTGTGTGAGCAAAGGCACTGGAAGAGAAATGTGTCTGGCCCAGGGGAAAAAAAACGGCATTTTGGACTATGAATGTCATTGTAAGCAATATCACTTTATGTTTCCTAATGAATTTTTCTGATAAAGTAATACCCAGCTAAAACAAACCTGTTGATTGCTTGACATCTTGATATGAACGGAACATAAATGACAGGAAAAAAATGAAATAGATAGGCAAATAAGTAAATGAAATTAATGTTTTTATGTGAGTACGAAATTTTAACACGAAATTGAGTAATGTTTTCAGTAGGTTCTTAGCATCTGATTTATATCTTCGATATTTAGTTTATTTTCTATTTTACGCTTTTAACCTTTTTGCTACTCTTTTCCTTGATAAGTCCTAATTTTGTGCTCGTGTTATATAATAGTTTCTGATTTCTTTTTCTCAATCTATTCTCTAATTCTTAACTTGAAATCAACAGGCAGTAGATTTCAACATCTTTGAGGGAATGGAATGTCATGGGGTGACGGAAGTTACCATCTGTCAAGGAAAAGTGGTTTATGAACATGGAGAGGTTCGTATTGTGTCCTGAATCCAGGTCTTTAAAAATAGTGTTCATTCTCTTGATTGTTCTCCTCTTCATTTATTCGTTCGTCATTCCTTCCTTTGTTCTCAGGTGCGAACGCTCGTTTTCTCTCTACGTGCGTGCGGTTAACTTTGCGTTTATTTCTTTCCAGCTCAACGTAGTGCGTGGATCGGGACGGTTTATACCTACTCCACCCTACCCATCGTATATGTATGGCCGAATCTTGAAACGAGATGTGGTGAGTATTGTCGATAGTTTGAGAAAAAAGAAAAAAAAAATTCAGTGTAGAAGGGGTGGGGGGAATGGTTATATAACATGAACGTTTGTTGAATGTTCAGATTACACCAAAATCTTATAATACGAGAAAACGGGGAGTCGGTGAGGTAGCTCATCGTAGAAATGCTTTGGAATGAAATACCTTAAACTTCGACTTTACAAGATTCATAATTTGTGGCGTTTAATTGTTTATAACATTCGATTGGCCGAGTGCTATTTTTTCTTTTAAACGATAATGTGTGGCAGGATTTATGTATTTTTTACTTTTAGCTTGACCCTTTTTGGTGTCTTACAATTACTTTAACTTTTGTCTAGGAGCGAAATCTCTCTGTAGAAAGTCTGAACGAAAAGACTTACAGGAGGTCTAATCCCTTTATTTCAGACTCGTAAACTGGTCAAAGTTGAGAGGGAGCCGTACAATGGTCCCGTGATAGAGATACCCTTTTCGGAGCCCATACCTGTTGTGTCCCCATCGCAGCGCAAACAGAAGCAACAAGAGCAGAAGAAAAGTGGTGCCGCGAGAGACCTTCACAAGTCTGGCTTTGAGCTCTCTGGTGAGTGAAAACCACGGGCTCTTGGGGCACAATCGTGTGGCCTTACATTGGTGGTCTTGATATGTCTCGTTACCGGAACGTGCTGATCAAACGATGAACACCTCTTGATTTGCCTTCGTAGACGTTGCTTGCAAGTAACGCTACAATTATATTTCTGTGTAATCGGGAGTTGGAAATTAGGTTTTGGAAATGATACGTATTGATCCCGTTTGATTGGTACCGGGAAGCTTAATAAAGGACGTAAATTAGGCCTTGCTTGCGCGTGTTGCCTGCCATATTCCCTTCGCAATTCTGTAGAGTTTTATCTCCCTACCCTCTTTGACTCATTTCCTCGAGTGCCTGTTGTGACAATTTTAAGCTTTATGAGGACTCGATAGCATGCTCAGGTATCTTTATCGCTATATGTTCACATGAATTGATTATGATTCAAAACGGATTGTTTATTTCGATAACAGAAAAAAATAGGTTGTTTGTGTGATCAAATTGGTGAGAAAAAAGAATGAAGGAGGAACCTGTCTTCGCTTCTTTTGACGTTTTTCGATTTAATTTTTTCGGCGAAAATCTTTGTGATTTCAGAGATATGCAGCTTGTTTACAGCTGTAATAACTTAACGTTTCCTTTCGTTAGAAATATTTTCTTATTATTGTTCTTATCTTAGATGTTGAGGATATCAAGAAATTTTTTAAATAGTACAATTCGACAGTATTAAGAAAAAGAAAGAAATAAACAAGCAGAAAAAAAAAAACGAGAGAGGAAACCATTACCAACCAGTTGTTTTGGAAGTGTCACCTCCCATAACCCCTTCTCGATCCACTTTGCCATTCGCGGACAACACGTTAGTAAGCGAAAATTTAAGGTAAAAGCTTTGCATCCTATTTGGAGGGAACCTTCAATCAACGCATTTCATCAATGCTCCGTTTGAAGGTTTTGTTTTTATGGTGAATCTTGTGGGTGGACTCGTAATTCTATGTAGTACCCTGCAGTATGGAAGTTATCAAGTTTGCAGCTATTATTTCGTTGAGGGAAAAAGTATGGCCGTCTACTTTACACGTTATCCACATCAAAAGCAACCCTGCTAGGTAGTTGGTGTGAAAAGAAATTCGACATTACATAGTATTAGACTCTCTCTTTTCTGCCCTTGCTCTATTGTTGAAGGAATAACAGCGAAATTGTTCTCTTGAGAGTTTATTGAAAATTTTTTCTAGGTTCCAAAGGTTGTTAAGCCACTTACTCTTATTTCAGTTCCTAAAAATTGCCCCGAGGCTCCTGTGGTATTGTGCGATGCGAAGTGGGAATCTTAACAACTGGAAGCGGAAATGGGTCCCGTGAAATGACTTCTGGAACCCCGGACATTTTGAATATATGTCAGAGAAAACACCGCTTTTGGTGCTTGACTGGTAACTGTGGTTGACCTCTAATTTGTACTTTGTTAATTTTTTTGTTTGTGTCATTTCTCTCGGTAGGTAAACAAGATGATGATAATGTGCCCGGGAGATCTTCTACCCGCGTTTGTAAGCCGCCTGGTGGTGGTTCCTCGCTGTCACTGAGCTGAAAAGGCTCCGTGCTGGACTTCTTCGAAAATAATTTACTTTTCTTGAACATCGTCAGGGATCACGAAGTGGTTCATCAATTTTGACAGCTTTAACGTGTTTACCAAATAACCAGTATTTCCGAAGTGGGTGCAAATTTACGGCTTTTGTGAAACACTGTATTCATAAGTTTCAGGTCTAATTTAAAGAGTCAAGCATTCTTCAGTTGACTGTCGATTTTTATCTGGATTGGCTCAGTTCGATAAAGTTTAACCTGTGATCGGTTTTGGAAACTTCAAACACCTTCTAGACCAATCACATACAAAACGTAAACCAATCGTCATCCAGATTTCATGCGCTCATGTGGCGCCGACGTTTTCATCTTCTTAGTACCTTGTGATATAAACCTTTGTTTTAATGGGTCATTATAAACTACTTTGCCTTTGCGACACTCGATAGAATAGTGCTCCTATACACTGATTGTCAGTCAAAGTCAAACTAAACTATTATTAACATCAGCTCAGTGTACTGTCAGGTCCAACCTTTTTTCTCTACATTTTAAGCGAATGCTTAGATCAGAATAATGCAGCTGACGATACCCAGCCTGGCTTGTAGCTACAGATTTGCTTTTCTGGCTAAATTAGTCAGTACTGGGTTACTAATCCTCTTGGGTGTCTTGTGTAATCGCCTTCTAACATATTGGAAACGTTTTCTTTGAAGGAAAGAGAAAAGTTTATATTTTGTTGGTAACTTTGTGAAAACATACCGAAGGATATTTTTTCTGCATAATTTGCCTCCAAGATCGGTAGAAGTCTGTGGGTATTGTCGTACTTTTGCCTATCCTTAAACAGAGAACGGGAAATACGCCTCGTGTTAAAAATTTTTTACATATCGAACCGCTGGATTAAAGTACTCAAGGGACAGTGATCATTGGGTAAAGAATGTCATACCATTGTAGAGAAAGTATTTACGCAAGAAAGGCTAGCTTGCATATTTATATATTTTGAGATTATAATTTTGAAAGAGAATGGGTGTCCTGTTGTTGAGAGCGCTAGAATCCGTACTAAGAGGTCTGGGTTCTAGCATAGGCCTACTCGAAATGGTTTGCTTAGTTGTACCCCTCAGCCACGAGTATAAATGGATATCCGATTATTGTCTGGGAGGCCCAGGGGGGTAAATCAGCGATGACTGCGGCAACCCGGACAAATTCTTCAGGGAATGAGTCTTCTGAATCGTTGGCTTACGTAACCTTTTTCGGGGCAGCACCTTACATTTCATAGAGAGGGTGTCTTGACAGTGTCTTGACAGTGACACTAGAATCCAAGAGGTTTTCAGTTTCTTGAGACATTCGGCATTTACCAGCATGTCCAAGTCTTTAATTAATTTTAGTTAATTTTGAATTTCTTAAATTCGTGTTTTTAAAATTTATTGCATTAAAATTGTGAACTGTTACATGGTGTGTTAACCTCAGCAGAAAGCAGTAAATAATAAAAATAATAAAAATAGTAATTAAAAAAAAAGCTTACAATTCGTAATGCGCAACTCAAATCACACCAGCGGAACATGGTATACGGCAGCTTGGGGGAGCCCTCTTTATGTGACCACGGGTCGCTTTATAACCCGGGTTGAATCACCGCAAGTAGCACCCTGTTGGTGTGAAGTAAAGTTTGTAAACGTTTTCGTGAAAAAAGTGTCTAGGGTGGGTTAGTCCCCTGCCCCTGCTTACAACCCGATTAGAAGGGTTGAGGTTTGTTTCATTCTTTCACGCTAACATTTGACCTGAAGCCAACCAGGCTGGGTTATTTCACGGAAATGACTGTGTTTTCGTCCTTATTCCATATCTTTTCTTTATCTTATCTTTACTATATGACCCACTACTGTGTTCACATCTCATGATTAACTGTTGCGCGCGGTTCGAAGTATTAAGTTTAGAAAAGGTGTTCATATAGCGTCACGCATACTCTGTTTTGAGGCTGGTCGGAGAATCGTCGGAAGCATTAAAGTCTGGACATCTTACTACTAAAATTCCCAATCATTTTCTACGCAGTGTGGAGCCTTCCTGAATTCTGTAATCTGGTGAAATAAACGGGAAAAATTAAATGAATGAGTGATTATATGAATGAATGAATGAATGGTTGATGTAATAGATGGATGCACGAATAAATACACAATAACAAATGGAAATTTTTTCTGTAGTTACTCGACAATTAACATGCAAACAATAATGTGGTAAATAGATCAACTGTAATTAAATTTGACTAGTGTAACTGTATTGTTCTATATGTATTGTAAGTAGTGTAAGTTAATGTAGTTTAAACATGGTGTAAAAAGTAATTATAGTGTAAGTACATGTGTAAGTGTAATAAACAATGCTGTATTAAAAAAAAAATACACAATAACTGATAAAGTAATCATCAACCTGATTAACAGAAATAGTGATTGGTTCTTTCGTCAAAAAAACGTCAACACAGTCATGACATTGGATAGGCTCCACTAAGTTTCCTCGGTACGCATGGTACTGCGCATCCTTGTGAAACACCGGAGTCGCCAACTGCTTGAGCGAGGCAGTTGTTGCCACCGTGTGATCTAAAAGAGAAGGGAAATTATATCGATTAATTGTGGTTGGAGAGAAATTTTCTGTCTAGAATTGGGCGAATTGATGAGTTTTTGAGGTGGAATACAGTGAAACCTGTGTCAATCGGGCAGCCCTAGGACTCTTAGTTACTGGCCATTGAATAGGGTGTGTCCTTAATATGCCGTAAGCTTTATAAAGGTTGTAATGTCTGCGTGAACCAAAATTTTGGGAATAGATAACGTGTAACTAATCTCTTTTTCAAGAGCTCTTTATGAAGCAAACAATTTTCCTTTGAAGAGTGTGGACTTTGGTGTTTGGTCATCTCGTTATGAAGGAAAATCACGTCGTCTCCAGCTGTTCGGCGACAAATGAAATCGTTATTTCGACAGGAAAAAATTCAGGTTTCTGCTATCTCTTTTAAGTTGCGTTCACGGTGATCGTGTTATCCAGACGGGTGAGTATTTGAGAGTTCCAACGTGTAGCATCTAAATCAATCACAAAAAAAGTCATATGTTTTAATTCAACCATAGCTCAAATATGGTGGGCAAAAAGTTCTTTGTAAATAGCTACTGGTAATCATGTTTTTTAAAGCCGTTTTAATTGTTTCTTTTCACGACAACTTGATTTCTGTTCATAGCGAATTGGCATCTAAGTGATTCGTTGGCGAAGAACATTTGCTACCCAAGAGAGCGCTAGTGTGAAAGTTGAGCTTTACCACAGACACTGCACAACTCAAAATAGGCTGCAGTTATGCTTAAAGAAGCGTCTTACTCTCATTACGCGAAATGTAGTCCACAAGAGATGCAAACTTTCCCATTTGAGGGTTTTTCGTCTCGTATCCTTCCTCTTTAACCTACAAAAGAAATTTAAGAGAAATTGTGGGTTGCATATTTTGATTTTTTTCTAAATGAAAGAAAAGGATGGCTTGTTTTTGGTTTGTTCGTTTCATCAAGTTTGTTTTTTATTTATGCAAAACAGCACCGAACTGTGTGCAACTTTGCCGTCACTTATTTATCTGCTCATTTGTTTTGGAAGGCTATACTGTCCTCCAATGACGATGTTACATAAGGGTCAGCCGGTATATCTGACCCAACCTGCATTTCAACTGAGTCCCAAGTTTGGCCGTACAGCGGAAAACTGGTTAGGCTGTTTAAAAGAGTCCTGTGCACGACATACTCCTCTCTGGCCATGGTCAAGAAACCGCAAGTTTCATTGTGTCTGCTTCGAAAAAAGGGATAAGGCTACTTCAAAATAAAGACTTTTTACCCGTTCCATGTCCCATGGACGCGGATTGCCTCTGAGATTCGAGACCCTAATACAGGTACTTGAAATGAGGTAAGAGTTGAAGACTCTTTTTCACGCTCTCGACAACAATAGCTTCCGTCACAGGACATTTTTTTATCGTTTTAGTGACGTACAAAGCTTTCAACTGTAGAAATTCGCAGAACAAAGTGATAACAGACCAAGAGAAAACAAGGCTGGCTAAAAAAAAGAAAAGGGACTGTGGTAGATGAACCCCAAGTTTTTTTGTCCTTTTGAGCCTAAAAGTTACAAATTTTCATGACACAAACTTCGTCGTACCTCTGTAAATGGCCATAAAAGGATAATGTTGTAAATCCTTTTTAACTTACCTCCAAAGGTATTGCAATTGCTACAAGCCCATCTTGAAATCTGTGTACAGCCTTGTTGTACTTCTTATATTTCTTTCGGAAGAATACCAAATGCAACTATAAATAAATGACAAGACATTATTTTGAGGTTAAGGGGCAGTGAAGGTTGTTTAGATGCTGGGGCCTGGCTTGGGAAAAGCCGAGTAAACCACGTTGGGCGCAAGGTAAAAGGGTTTGAACTGTTAACGTCTCATTTAAGAGCTACTAAAGCTACATCGATTCTTATTGATTACAGCTGAACTGAGCTAGACTCATTTTTATCCGCCCGGCACTTACCTCACCAGAAACTGAGATCCATCTAGCGTGTGCTGTTCAGCTTCAGCCCTTGTACAGTAAACATGGAAATGAAACTGATCCATGACGTATGGTGCTGTTAAAGATCCTCCAGTTAATAAAACAGTTTCCTGGTCTTCGGCGAGAAGTTTAAATGTTGGTTTGTGGTTGTGGAGGTTAAAAAAACGACCGGATACAGCTCTGTTGCCCTTATCGATGTGAATTTGAAGTGGATATTCAGACCTAAGGTAAACTGACCTCAGATCTAAGTGTATCTCTTCTTTATATTTGTCATCCTCTGCAATTGCATAAAAAGGAACATGCAATTATAAAGGGATGTCTGTATGATGCCGTCAGAATTTGGTAAATATTTTCAACCCGAGAATGGGATCTTCTATAGCATCTAAATACCAAGTTAAGAGATTAAGTTTTTATACTTGGTTTTTATCTCTTAGAGGTACAAAAATCTCTGCGTTTATGTCTTCGAAGATAACTGTACACTTTTTTTTCAAAACGGTCGTGGAAGGAATGGACTTTCATTGATTCTAACAGCTGAATTTTGCTTTAAGCACCAGCTATACAGATAAAAGTATATTCACCTAGTTGGTAAGTTCCTTGATTGGAGTTGTTATCAGAACATCCAGATCTTATTGCTTTAGGGATTCCTCACTAGCCGGTGTACAGTTGCCCCTTCCCTCTGAGAGGAAATTGGGAAGGGGCCCTCACCGATTTTCTTTTGGAGGGTAGGGGTGGTTGAACACAGGGTAACTCCTAATCCCTTAGTGTGACAATAATATATGCACGAAAGGAAATGTTGGACTTATTAAAAGAAAACTAGCAGACAGAGAGGTACGGTCAAGGCGTAGGCTTGGACATGTTCATTCTACCAAGAATATTTTTAGTTCCTGAAAGATTTTTCCCCGTTATATGCGTACTGCACTATGAATTCTCATCTAAGAAATACCATTTCTCAATATCAATAAAAAAATTTAAGGGAACTTACTCATAATATGTTCTAAAACTCGTCTATGAAGTTTCTGGGATCGAAGCTGAAAGGAAAAAAAAATCAAACTGCCATGTGAGAAAGGGAGGTAAATTTCAGATGCCCGATTCAGCGGGTTTTATGTTACGTGGAGCTAAAGGAGTGAGAAGACCATATATCTAAGAACACATTCACCAGGAACCTCTTTCCGTCCTTTACAAATCTCTATCACCCAGAAGGATACGTTGGCGAGGTGTGGAAACTTCGAAGCCCATCGCGGCTTCTTTGTTTGATATATTTCTTGCATATTGCTGTAAATCCGTTTCCTTTCCGTATACATAACGTTTCCTTAAATTTTCCCGGTCGTTTTTCACAAGATGCCGGTGCCATCGAAAATCACTACCTCGACAAAGACGGGAGGCTTTGAAGAACGAGGCATAACACAGCAGACGCTATTCTTATTCAATGACATGTAAATGAGTGGCCGGGTATTCTGCAGTTTAGCCAAGGGAATAAATGCGATTTGACGCCTGTAGATGTCAAATTGGAAGAACTCAGAGCGCAAGCTCGGAGCTTGACCTTGCCACTTGAAAGCCACGTCACGTTATATGCGTATGGTGTTCGAGGTGTTTCTTTTGTAAACAATTTCCCACTTTGCGGTATGCAGTTATGTCAAATCTAGTGAAGCGCGTTGTTTGTGTTGTGCGCGACAAACAAGATTGTGTGTGTTGTTGAAGTTTCAGGCTGAGTGGATCCTCGCATAATGATTATCTTGGAGGAAAAAATCAATGGTATGATTGGAGAATTTGGGGTTTCAAACTCTGTTGAAACCAACACAATATAACACAATATTGACAGCCGCCCCTACCCTCAGGCGATCCATAGAAGAAGCACGAAATCACATTTATCGACAATACGTGCAAGTGTGCTGTATGGCTTTCTGACGTATTTGAAATATGTGGGAAATTGTGTATAGGTCAAAACATGTTTCGATGTCAGTGTTTTAGTCAAGCTTTTTGTTAGCGATGCAGCAGTTTTTCTGGAAAGTTTTACGCTGTTTCAGTGTCAAGAGCTTCCCATATGTTCCTCTCGTTTTAATGAATATTCGTCTTACGCTCGCACATTCCTGCTCTTCTGACACAAGCTTTACTTTCTCTTGTTTTAAAACATACCTTAGAATATGATTTTCCCAAAACATGTCGTCCGTTTGGTGCAGGATAGCGGCGAAGTCTTTTCTCCCAACTGAGCGTGGTATTAATAGAATTGATCAAGACCAAAATTCGAACCCAGACTAGAAGAAAACATATCCGGGCACATCCCATTTTACTAACAGTGATGTTTTTGTAACAGCCTGCATACATAACCACTGCTATTTTTCATGCATGGTGAGTCTAATTTCTATTCTTTTTTTATATCTGTTTAAAGTAGCCTTTGTGGCCTCGAAAACATGAAGAAAAACAATGGAGTTCCCACTCAAAGGCGAGGTTGACAAGGCTTAATTGTATGCGCTTAATAATCACTATTGTCGTGAAAGAGTCCTTTGCGTGTTGATGATAAAGGGGTTATTTCTTGGCTCTCTACGCATCACTTGTTCATGGACTAACAATGACTGTGGCTCTCTGTTTTTGTTTATCTAACCTGTGTGGTGTAAATGACACTGCGAGTGTTGCGTGACGTACTGCGTTACATTATAATTGGTTTTTTTGTACATGAGTAGTGGTTTGATTTTGTTATATAAGCCGGCAATCCTCGTGGTCACAGTTGGCCGCCATCTTTTTGTGTTAGTAAGGACTTTCCGAACCAGAACGCGACGCACCTGAAACGTCACCGGAAGTAATTTGCTCACAAAGTGCTTCACTGCGCATGCTTGGCGCTAAACTGCAACGCGTCTTCTTCACGTTCAGAACACGAGGTTGGCACTTGCAGCGTTTCCGGAAAACGTGAGTTGTTTCTACTGAATTTGAACTAGAATTAAATTTTCTTTTGCTACCTTAAAGGCAAAACTGTTTTTCTGAGTCCATGAAAGTGTTATTTATTGTAAAAAAATACCAAACAAACATTTTAATTTGCCTTTTATTGCAGCATAGTTAGTAGAGGGGATGGTAATGAAACCCGATAAACATCAAAGGGTTAAACAACAGCGCCGTCGGCGATTTTGAACAGACCCGTCACGTGACTCTGACCGTGCACAAGTTCATTCAATATGGCGGACGGTGTAGACGATCGACGATCAGTTTGTGTGGTGAGAAGATTTTGAGGCGATCTTGGGTATTTTGGAAGACGATGACGAAGTAGAGGAACAATTTTCCGTCGCAGTTAGAAATGTAAGTTGAAAACGTAGCAATTTCGAGTTGTAATTTTGCACTACTGAGCTTAAATTTGCCACAGATGGGCTACTCGACGCGTGTACAAACGAAATTCAACAAACGCTCGCGTATAAACCATGCTTATATATTGCCGTTTCTTCAAAGGCAATCTTCTTTAGGGCTCCTGCGAAACAAGGAAGACTTATAAAAAGCTTCTAAAGAGCTCAAATCTCCGGAATGTAGTGAT